CAATTAGGACTTTGGAAAAAGTGTTTTCTTATACTATTTTTAGAATTAGTGCTCTACCTTTTGGTGAAGTACGAAAGTTGACAGGTATGTTTCTTACTCAGACTGCATGTTCTTGTCACTCTGCAGATTAGAAAAGCAAGAATAGTCAAAATTCAAATTAAATGACTTTTATCAACGCTTTATTTCATATGTAAAGAAAAAAAATATTATTTCAAAACTTGCCATTGGTCTAGTAGTGTAGTACTGGTAGGTCAATAGAGCAATGCTATCTTTAGGTTCTCCAAAGGACCTCCCATTTACCTGAAAAGTGTCATATTCAGTTGCAGTATCTATCAACAAGACCTCACAAGGAATACTTTTATCAAACTTTGAACAATAAATTATGTTCAATATTGACTGTTCGAAAAGTTAAATTTCGAAAAAGGCAAAAATTAAATTGTATTCAAATTTTTGTTGTATCACAGGTAAATAATTTTAAACGAACTTTGTCGCAAAAATCCTATCTTACAATTATTTAAAACATGAAATTAAAGAGTGCTGAGTTAATTTCAACTTGCAGTAATCTTAAAGTTCCCTAAAATCAGTAAAATTCAGGAAAATCAATGAAATGTATTTTAGATTATACCAATTTTAGAATTGCGTTTTCATAGATCACATCTCTATGAATGTCAGTAACCCTGTTTATTATTAAATGAGGAAAATGATACTGGTCATAAATCATTTACACCACTTATGCATTCCATCGAATGCAGAAATATTTCTGTTGAAAGATGTTCCTAGATTTTACTCTTGCAAAATATAAATTCTAAAACTGATAAACAATAAATGACGAAATAATGATCAATTAACAGCGTATTTACACCGACTTCAAAACCTCTAGAGAGAAATCATAAAACCGGACGAAATGTCCCAATTTTGCCTTTTAGAATATCGCTAAAATCAATAAACCGCGTTTTACTACATATCTGATTCGTGCTCTCCATCAATATATATATAAACTTTTCACAATTGCGTGGGCGGTTTTCAAAGATCCTTCACTTTTTTTTTAAAAAAACCCTCTTCATTGGATAAACTGAAAGTCATTTTGAAATGGTTGAAATATTAGTACTATGGAGAGAGTCGTTAAATCTATTAAGACCATGAACGAACCCTATTCATGGTATTGAGCGTTCTTTTATACCTGCTTTAAGTTTAGCACCTAGCCGATTTCATTTATGCAAATATAATATATTATAATTATTTTAAATATACTGCACTATTTTTGAGCACCTAAATAAAGTTTTAAAGCAATGAATCTATCATATAATATATTCATTGTTGACAAAATTTGTAATTGGCGTAATAATTTCCTATCTGCCTTAGAGAATAATCTCCGTTACTTTCAAACATATATCAATTTTTTCTCAATTTTTTTCTTCTACATTGAAGTTTGGAAATTCCAGACCTTTAGGATGGGAAAATACAAACTAAAAACCATTAGGGATTCGGCCAGAAAAACAAAGGAACAACTAAAAATGATATGCTTTTCGATAGAAACTTATTCCACTATACGTCTACTTGAAAGCCACTAAACCTGTCTTGGCCCTATTGTTAAATTACTAGGTATTAGGAAAGGGTTTTCTTGTAGCACTAAATGGATTAGAGATGACGGTTTCTCTTGACTTGTGCCGTTAGAGGGTAAAGATGATGAACTAATACAAGTTATTATCAAACTCTATTCACCAACAGACTGTTCTGACTCATAGGAATGGGAAGAGAGGTTCAGAGCAGAAATGGCCGAACTCTTCCACGACCCACCCCACATATGGCATCGGAGTGATGTGCACGGTAAGACTGTAATTTCTGCCAACACTCCACTTCTCATTTGATTGATCCCTCTTCTGTGGGTAAACTTAAAGGTTCGGACAAACAGCGAATTACACAATGGGTATTTTTGGCTTCTAATAGAAAGTAATCTAAAAACATTGATTAACGGAATATTAATTAATCAACCAAGGGGCTAATGTCGAATTTTGTTCTTACACTTTTGTTAACGAAATAGAAGAAACTCAAGAGAATTGCTTGCAGTTTGTAAAAAAATTGTAATTGAGGTTATAGTAAATGTAAAGTTAATTTACACCCGAGCCAACTGAATTTGATTTATTTAAGAAATAAAACCTCCAAATTGCTTATTTTAGACAATTGCAAAATAGAAATTTAACATTATCAAGTTTCGCTAATGAAAATTGAAGGAATCTTCGAAAAAGATGAAACTTACAAACAAATTTTAATGTTTTCTTTCGACGGACAGTGGGATAAGCAGGCAAAGAAGGTTAATTTTTAAGAGAGAAATCGATTCTTGGAGGTTACAATCATTTTAAATTTGATCATGCTATAATCTCTCGCTTATTTATCCTAAAGAATGGAAAATGTTTAAAGACAGACAAAAAACCTTTAACTGGTATCTTTTGGCCTTTGACACAGTAATATGAAATTTATTTTGTTTAGTATTTAAATATTTATTTATATCAAATGGCAGGCGTCTTGATGGTTATCATTAACCCTTTAGTTGACTTCAGGCTTCACAGAGGGGAAGGAATATCAAAATGATAAAGGTCGAGTGAGGGGGGGGGAGGAACAGAAGGGCGTTTCAAAGATGTTAATAAGACAGACACAAAGGTAGAAAAAAGGTGAGGTGAGTACTGTGTAAAATGATCGAATATGACATGGAGTCAGGTCATGGTAGTTTGAAGTCAGAAGTTTATTTATTTATATCAAATGGCAGGCTTTATGATATTTATCATTAGCCCTTAGTTGACTTCAGGCTTCACAGAGGGGAAGGAACATCAAAGTGAAAAAAGTCGAGAGGAGGGGGGAACAGAAGAGTGTTTCAAAGATGTAAGAGATAGACACAAAGGTAGAACAAAGGTGAGGTGAGTACTGTGAAATGAAATGACATACAGTGGGGTGATGGTAGTTTGAAGTGAGAAGTCATCTGCCAGTTAATAGACTTTTTTGCCGTATGAATATACGTTGCCCAGGGTGCACCACGTGGATATAGGTCTATCACACACCCCAGTATTTAAATATACCTTTTTTTAAAAAGTTTGAGCCAACTTTCCCTATCTATTTTTATTTGATCTATATATCTTTTATTTGATCTACATTCTAATTAATTATTGAACGGATATATCCAAAGTATAAGTATATTGGAGGATATTAGGCATCGACAAGTATGTATTAAAAATTGGTCGAAAGATTAAAAACCTGATTGCATGGTGGTCAGAAGGGAAACACAAACCACTAAAGCAAACTCAGTTATAATTTTGGGACAATTAGACTAATAAACAGACCAATTGCAAAGCAATCTATTGTTAATGAGTGAAAGGACAGACCTGGTAATGAAACGCTTTTTATGGCAAATATTTGGGAAATATTATTTCCATATTGGTAAATTCTTTACACCTTGAGATTAGAAAATAAGTCGTCTTAGAAAATGATATTATTTTCCGATAGCTGAGCGCATTATTATTGCAGTCTTAATTGATCCGAATGCACGCTGAATAAAAAAAACTAACTTCCAGATCGGAATAATGTTAAATTGGCCAAACAATATGCGATTTCTAAATCCTAGGTCTGTAAGGGGGCTCTATTCCAATGCTGAACACTAATTTCTACTGAGTTTAGGTAAGTAACATTTGTTTATATCAAATGGCAGGCAATTTGATGGTCATCATTAGCCCTTTCGTTGACTTTGGGCTTCACAACAAAGTTATGAAAAGTGGGGGGGGGGGGTGAGGGGATAGAAGTTTGATTCATAGATGTAAAAGGGACAGACACAAAGGTAGAGTGAAAAAAGTAAGGTGAGTACTGTGGAAATGGTCGAATATGACATAGTCAGAGCAAGGTAGTTTGATGTCAGAAGTGACCTACCGGTTTATAGACCTGTTTTCCGTATGAGAATATCTTCCCCAGGGTTCATCGGGTGGAAGTAAGTCTATCGCACACCCCAGGCAAGAAACATAACCCATTAGAGTTACTAATAGAAGAAATTTTTCCAGCATATAGCTTGTTAATTTTAAATCCACTTCGACAGAATTTCTCACACCTGCGTTTCGAAATCAGTAACAAAAACAATGCCTTATTCGATAGACAAGGTAAAACCGAAAACAACGAAAATGGAAGTCTAGCAAAGGATAAATATAATACTCGCTGGTTACCTCTAGTTGTAAATGAAGCATTTTCCCAAATTTCCTGGGTGTTACCTGAAGCCTGGCACATTACATCCTATTTAATAGTATTAGCGCATTTTTCTGGAAGCCTGTTAGAAGCCATATCATCACCTTACACTCAAGTACAAATAGCCAACTCAGTCAGTTTATATAGATTGACCTTCTCACACTATACGACAATGCCACCGTACCAAGACTAAATCGATGCCTTCCTTCATATTTATGCTCACAAACTCCCTATCTATACGTATCCTGGATTTCTACTCTGCTTTCAATAATGTCCACTAAGCATTTGGTAAGGTTGTTTTGTAATAATGAGTACATTTTTAAATTACCCACATAATTATGGTGGTTTCTCATTTTAAAACGCGATTTATCTGTGATTTTCTCCACACATTGGGTGGATAATATTAAGCTTTTTTGGTGATGGATGGACGAAAAAAGTATGCCCAGTTTTAATTTTCACACTTATTTCCTTTTAAGGACCTATTATAGCAATGCAATTGTTCGCCTTATATCATTCTTTTAACCTTCCTCTCATCAATTATCATTAAAACTGTCAAATGGAAAATTGAACGATACAGTCGATTAATGCTTAAACAGAAATTCTGACGTAGAATGCGGTTAGTGCTATTTGATCTTTGCTTATGCATTCAAAATTTGAGATTAGAATCTAATTACTATAGCAAAAATCTAATTATATTTTAGTAACGTTTTTTTTAAATTCAAATACTCATCACTCTTAATTCATATCTGCATTTTTGCATTCGCTTCAGAAAATACATCGTGATGGAAGGAAGTGAAAAGGGAAGTAACGGGGACTCTAAATTTGATTCCCTTGAGGAAGCTTTAAACCGTTTAGGAGATTTTGCGGGAATCAGTGACCTTCAGAAAAGACGAAAAGCCCTTAAATTATTAAATTCTATTTTCAAGGAATGGGTTAAATACGAATATGGGAAGAAAAAGAGGACAAAATCGGATCCGACTTATAGAAAACTATTGCTCCCATATGGTTCCTATCGTCTCGGTGTCTGTTCGGAAGACGATGATATTGATACTGCATTGGTTGTTCCGATATGGATTTCCAAAAAGGCTTATTTTACTCTCTTCGCTGAGATGTTAAGGGTTCAGGATTCGGTAACCTATACAAATCTTGTTAGAAACTATGGCAGTCTATTGATGCGAGCTAAAATAATGGGAATAAAATTCGATATAGTCCTGATCAGATTGATGAAAGCAAATGTTCCTGGCAATTTTAATGTTTACAATTTAACTCCAAGGGCGGTTAAAAAAATTGCTATAAAACCCAAGCGATTTGGAGGAATACTAACCGCGTCCTTTATTCTCGACATTGTTTACTCCAAACATGTTTTCAGGAAAGCACTAAAAGCAATACGACTATGGGCCAAATCATGTGGCATCTATTCCAATACCTTTAAGTATTTTAATGGCATCAGTTTAGCCATCATGACTTGCCGAATTTGTATGTTCTATCCAGTAGAGTCGGCAGAGATGATTGTGTACCACTTCATGCGAATTTATAGCCAATGGGATTGGAGAGAACAAGTTCGAATTACCGCATCCTATCGCCACTATTCTGTACGTTCTCTTCTACAATGAAATTCTTTCGTCACTTCGTATATTTTCAACTTACAACTTCATTTGCAGGCTACTCCACGCATTTCAGTCGGTGGTTTAGGCATAAAAAATAACGTGGACACATTATCTCATGTTAGTCAAGATAGGATGAAGATTATATGCCAGATGATTAAGGACTGCGGTTAGTCCTTATTATTCATTTTATAAATTTTCATCTTTTTATTTATTTATTTTTAAATAAATTATAGAAATAATAGACTCATTTTGAGTATTAATATGATAGGCGTTAATTTTGTTTCAACTAAAAATGTCATGCTAATTAATTGGCCGTAGACAAAAATGAAAAGATTATTTCTTTATTTCATATAATTAAGCATAATTTCTTCTTCTTCTCCAAATGCAGGCTTAAATCGAGTGCTCGAAATCAAAAAACACAATCTTCCATGGTCACACCTCTTTGAACGCAAAACCTTTTTTCACACCTATCCTTATTATTTCGCCATTAGCTTTTTCTATTCCAGTGAGGCCGTTTTAGACAGATTACGTCCACTTTTTGAAATATTCGTTCGTGATAAATCTAAAATGTATGAGGAAAAGGCGAGTGTTAAATTCGTCCATGTCAACTGTAACTCGTATTGTGAAAGAATTGGTAAAGACCAGAAGCCCTCTATTAGGACCTGGTTTATCGGTATTGAATTCGTAAAAACTGAAGATTACTTTGTTGACACTGAAGAAGACCAAGTATCTGGATGTGAGACTCGCATTAGATCCTTCAAGGGGTTAGTATACTATATTTATTAGTTGTGATTATCATGTTTTTATGAGTCCTCACATATAAATTTTCCACTCCATAGAAGTCAAATCGCCGATTATTTGCCTCCGGAATTACAATAGTGGACGTAAAAGTCAAAATGAAAGAATATTTTGCCTGTTTTTCAGTAAAAATTGAAATATCGCCTATGGTAAAATATAGGGCTTTTTAGCACCATTGTTGCTTCTGTGCATAGAAATACGCGAAATCGCTTCAAGTCCGCATTTCGCTCTTCGAATACTTTTAATTCATTACCTTTGTATTTTCATTACTACTTTGCTAATTAAATATCTATTTATCATTTCCGAAAATCAATACGGTGATATCGGCTAACATTGGGTCATGGGCAAAACCGGCTCATGAACGAACTAATTACTTTAATTGATGGGGGGGGGGTTAAAATCGCATTTAAAATGAATACTGTATTTAATTTATATCAGTAGCAAGGTCTACTAGGCGCTTAAAATCGTAAAAAGACTAAATTTAATATAGGTATTTAAAATAATAATGTTGGATGAACATCCTCAAAATTGCCTTCTTGAAATTACAGTTTTATTGATTTTATTGTCAATTTCTTGCAAATATTAGATATTTGCTTGAAGACTATAATTTATACAGACCTTACGTCATCCCTTGTTCTATGATTAACGCACAACTGTAAGTGTTTGTGGGTTAATCGAGTTCCAAGTCATTCGCCATGGTAAGTAGACTCACAATATGGTATATTATTTATAAACGGATATACGTTGAAAAGGCACTTGAAAGATAGCAATGCGGACTTAGAACCATAATACCAAACCTCCATACGATCAAAACCTTACCACGTCTTGCCATCGCAGCCTTTCCATTAGTCCATTCTGTACACCGACGAGGTGCTTACGTTTGAGCTATTTGACTTACTCTCTATTCTGCGGTATTAATACGGCCTTATTTTGTACTAGTCGGAACGAACTGGTAAGCTGTTAAAATAGAGAATTTGCCTTCTTTAGTTAAGTGGATTTCTGCTCAGCTTCTGCTTCCTGAATTATTATAGAAGCAGCAGTATATTGGCATTTAATGAAAGTACATTCCTAATCTGGTTGATACCAAAAAAACGAATTCATTAACTGAGATTTTGCATTTATTAGGAATTGATGAAAATGTCGCATTTTCTCCCCCCACGAAGATGCCCGAATTGAATTAATTGTAGGTTAATGGGAGTTTTGAGTAAAGTAATTCTTTTTCTGGAATTGCAAGTGGATTTGTGCTAATTTTGTGTTTGAAATAGAGGAAGTAAACAACACCGATTGTACGCACAAAGCGAGCTGTTCTAGATAAATAGAAAGAGATATGGTTCAGTTTGTGGACCTTTAAGGAAGGGTGGATCAGAAGGAGCATAAATTATTAATTTCCTTCGCAATTCGGTGATGAAAATCAGGATTTAGGTCCTTCTAGGCGGAGCGAAAAGGTTTCCCATTCCATCACCTAGGAAACAGATGTAGTTAAAATATGATTAAGGAAAGAAATTAAAGTCTTACGATGCAGTATCTTGATATACACGATTGCATTTGGTGCTATTATTTTTTTAACCTGAGGGAGATTTAAAGTTAAAAATTGATCAACCTAAAGTAGGTTAGGTTTTTAACTTTCGCCATCAAGCAAACAGAGGAAGTACCATGAATCATTTCGTGATTCCAATGTTAGAATACATCGTTGGAATAAATATTACAAATAAGTCAGATTAGTGGGCGAGGGTATGAGATTTGTTGGTTGCACGAAGTGCCAATATGATCAGAGCCCGTAGAGGCTAAGTAGATGCCACTTTCACACAGAGCTGACTTGATAGCTAGCTAAGCTAACTTCCAATTGTTCTGAAATAACATTACCCAAATTAGTATACTAGTTCTGAACGTTCTATGTTCCTTTACCTGTTTTCTCGTTACATCTACCTTCCTAATTTTTCTACCAATGATTAAACCAGCGCTCTTGTATTTTAAAAAAAAACCTGTCATAGTATGACAAGTGATTCCTGATGCTTACTGCGTGAGGTATCATTAAATGCATTGCCTGTGATGTTTTTGGCCGCAGCTACGGCTGCAGGAGTACGCGAGGCTGGAATGAAAGGTGTTCCTGCGGGTGACATGAAAGCAGATTCATCGAATGTGCCACCAGCTACGAGAGTGGGCTTATTGCCTCCACCAAGACCCAGTTCATCAACTCCGCTTCCTTCAGCTTTTTCAGCGTCTTCTCCACCTCTTCCCACCCTAGCAGTCTTCTCTTTGACCAAGTAATTGATCAGCAAGAAGCAGATCAACATAAGAGCTGAAAGTGCTCCGTAGGCACGGAATAGATTACCAGTTCCTGAAGGAAAAAGAAAATATTGAAGGGTAAATGCTTATCACTATACCAAAGTGTGTTTGTCACGCTTCAGATAGTCTGAATTCAAAATCTAGGGAATGGGAGCTTCTTAAGCAGATGCCTCCATAACTTTCGTTCCTTTTTAGTAAGTATATATCTTACCGAAATGTGAGGTGATAGCACCACCAATGATAGCACCAAGGCCCTTGCCTAATCCATGATTCACGCCTTGAAGAACCCCCTGCGTCGAGATTCGATACTGTGGCTCAAAACTCTGGGCAATATAGGAGCAGCTTGCGGCCCAAACTCCAGCATTTGTGATCCCTATTAGCAAAAAATGGTTGCATGTAAGTACGTATAAACCTTGCTTAAATGTTTATATACAGTTGTTGTGTCTAAACTTAAGCACTGAATGCCACCAAGTGGGTTGATGTCAAAAAATTGGAACTAAAATAAGCAAGCGAACTTATCTGTCAACGGGGGTGAGGGGAGGCGTTTTTCCGCGCACAGACTAACCAAGACAAAATGAGTGTGTAGTAGCCAATGTATAAACTGAGGCCCAGAATTTGTTCAAATATGATCCATGCTGTTCAGAACGGAAATTTCCTATATAATAAGGCGGTTGGAGTTTATTCCTTGCTAGCAACCTAGGCAATCCATATGAATTCACTTGTCAATGCCCAGATCAATGTGGACATACGCTTGGTCAAAGAGAGGCTGTGACACCGGAATATACTCAACTGCTGGAGACAGAAGTGCCCATTGTGACAAGATAATTACCTCCTCACAGTTTCGCACTGTTTACTGCTTCTAAGTACACCTTTCTCTCAGTCAAAAAAATTATACCATTTTATTCGGTATTGAAGTGTTTTAAAGATGCGCCTTAAGGAAACCTAGTTGAGATCACAATTTTAACAGAAGAAATGAACTTACCATGAACGAATTCAAACGGCAATGCCCACCAAGGATTGCCTATCCAGGAAACGTAGAGGAAACGGAAGACATTTACAAGCAGTCCAAGGTAGAGTATTTTGAAGTGCCCTGCAAATTGAAACACAAAAATGAGAATTTTAAAGTATGGTTTTTTTGTTTACATTACTGCCAAGCTCGGAAGTCTAATTTATGCTAACAAGATCCATGATCACACTTAGTATTGTTCGGCTACCTTTGATTTGGGCAAGAGGAGGAGAGTTCAGACAGGAGTGTGGTTACTCCAAGATGCTTCTCATTAACTCATCAATGGCAATAAATATTATTGCATGCCATCTTTGTACTCATGATGTTGAAGTTCAAATCACAGAGAAATAATAAGAGGTCCCGTTTATTAACTGCCGAGTTGTCAGAGTAGCGACATGCACTCGCATATCAATAAGGAATATTGGTGACTTAGTCGCAATCTGTGGCACCTACTTTTCCGAGACAAAAACAAAAGCTCTGTTTGTCGGCTTATATTGCCCATTATTATATAAGTGAATGAAACTGAAGGTTTTCAGAAAGGTGATAGAACGATGTTTCAACTCTCTAAGTAGTGCTCAGGTGTACCCCTTATAAACGTGTTATATTTAAAAAAAGGATGGTAATAAACTAGCTGATACTCAAGTCATAAATATAAATTATCTTTTAATATAAAACAGAAGAGCAAATAACAAATAAGCACAATTTATAAATAAGTTTCACTATCTTTACACGTTCGTTCTGTACATCCTCATCACGTTACATCAAAGTCAGAATAGTCAGAACAGGTTATTGGACACTGAAAAGTGGATAATTTTATTCTTGAAGTTAAAATTGGGCTATAAATGCTGAAGATATTACCAAATGGACGATTACGAAGGGTCTCAATTATTATTGGCACTATTTACCCAGTTGCATTGACCACAATGCCTATTTAATTATTCCATTGGAAAGCATGGGAATAAATGAAAGAGTCAAGTGGGGGGGGGGGTGAAGAAGAATGAGGTAAGGACGTCAAAACACCAACAATTTGAGAAATATTTAATTGTCCACGTTCTCTCGAAGTAAATGCACCCTACCCTGTAATGGGCATCAAGGTAAAATGAACTAAGGGGATTTCATGTTGTCATTTATGTGCCGATGGAGAACCAACGTCACTATTCTTTAAGACCCACCAGGATTAAAAATACAATGGCGGAAAGCCGAAGACCATAATTCAGTCCTTCTGCTATTGGCTGCCAAGTTGCAATGCACTTTAATCAATACCTAAGCTACTTCTAACCCCTCGACAGTTATGCTCGGGCCAAAAATGCCACTAGTCCGACAATATTCTGACCTTCAAATATCAATAATATGATGGCCAGCTTCATTTATAAAATAGCCTTGTCTAAGTTAGTGGGAGGATTTGGTGAGCACACTCAACCGTTCTCTCTTTCCCACTCCATTTGAGCAATTTTTGCATAAATCAGACAAGTAAGGAGAGGTGAGATTGATATCCTCGAGGTAAATCATCTGAAGATTTTTCACGTGCTAACGTACGCACACGTTGGAAATTGACCAGTAAATGGGTAAAACATAACAAATTAGACTCAATTCAATTTGTCTGGTATTTTTCGCTTTATTTTACAACTTCTTTAATATCTGCATTGCAGGCATCACGATAAATATCACGATCTTCAGTTTGTCATCACTTTTACTTTCCACCTCCTGCTCCCTTGCGTTTGCATTCCTGAAGATTTTATTTCACCGTATATCGACAATAAGCATACTTTTAATAGCTTATCACGAAAATTAAAAGCTCAGTTGAACGGTTCTGTTGTGCTGCAACGATCTAAATTTCCGCTAACAATTGGGCCTTAACATAAAGACATTTGAAACAAGATAGTAACGGTAATTAGTTATAAAGAGAGTATGGTCAACGTACCAAACCGTTCGATGGCAGGCTTGCTGAAGTAGTAAGTGACGATTTCAGAGAGATAGTTGATAATGGAGGCAATACCATAGAGAGTCGGTGAACCGCCAAGCTCCTGGAGATGCCAGAATAGGAAGCTAAAGACTATTCCAGAGCCAATTCCCATGAACCATGTGACCAGAAGGAAAAAGCCTAACCTCGGCTGCGTGAATTGCTTCAGGACAGTTAAGTATTGAGTCACCTGCAGAAAGGAGTAAGTAACTTTATTATAAATTTTATGGATCTTATCCTTGCAGCATAGCACGAAAACGATGGGATCCAACAATTAACTTTAGAAATGACATCGAAGTGGGGAGATGATTTTTTCTAAAGAATGCAGGGGAATGCAGCCGCGTTTCTTAAATCAGAAGACCAGATTCACATGGAGGGAAAGTTTAAAATGGACTACCGCAAGAAGAGAGGCTGCAGTAAAGGCAAGATGGGAACTAATTTTAGAAAGAGCTATGAAGGTATTGGTCAGCATGTCTTATAATCGCTCTCCTAGACCACATAATGGGCCTGCAGGAATAACGAATATTTATTTATTTATATCAAATGTCAGGCATTTGTTAGTTATCATTAGCCCTTTAGTTGACTTCAGGCTTCACAGAGAGGAGAAGAAACATCAAAGTGAAAAAAGTCGAGAGGGGGGAGGGACAGAAGAGTGTTTCAATGATAAAAAGAGACAAACGCAAAGGTAGAAAAAAGGTGAGGTGAGTACTGTGGGAGTAGTCGAATATGACATTCAGTGGGGTCATGGCAGTTTGAAGTCAAAAGTCAACTGCCGGTTGATAGACTTTTTGCCGTATGAGTATACGTTGCCCAGGATGTACCACGTGGCGATAAGTCTGTCGTACACCCCCGGACTAACGAATATTGAGTTAGTGAGAAGGTCAATAACTTCCCACTTACCCAAATGCATACAAAAAGGTGCAAGCAAGTGAAAATCAGGCCTTCTGTGCATTATTATTCACGGCACGAGCAATTGCGATCCCAATGGGCAATACTACGAGGCAGCCTAAATCACACTAGAAGGTAATCATCTGCCTCTCCCAGAGGTAAATTACTTTTAATTAAAATGCCAAACTTTGGATCGATCTCGCTCACGTTTTTATCCCTAAATTTCTATTTTCTAAATCTCAAACTCACGTTCATTAATGACACAATAAAACATTTTATGTATCTTAATGAGGTCTCTAGTCCTGATATTGGGAAAAATTTGATGATTCATGTTTTGAGTGGACTGTAGCGATATAATACCTTGAGAATACTGTGTTCCATATAGTAGCAATTTTAGCTGGGGAGGAAAGATGCAACCATTAGCTAACTCCTTAATGGGTGGCCTTACGACCTGACTCAATTCCAAACTTTAAGATCATGTGCCAATGTGTATTCAATGTACTTGAATAAAATTACTAAATAACGCGTTTTTTTGAAACTGTTTTTGAGGTAGAGATCACTAGGTGAATTATGTTTTTGGGCCTTATCAGCCTCCTAGTAATTTGTCTATTTGTCGAAAAATATAACTGAATTGATTAACCATTCATCCCAATTAATAAACTGATCAGTTATTGTTGAACTCCATCAATAGTAAGTGCTTGTAGATATGTTGGTAAGAAGTGGAAAACTAGATTCAAGAGGTAAAATACTGATAATGGGCTATCAGCATAAAACGGATATATGGCTGTCAGACTATCTCCGGTACCTTGGCAAATCCCCTTCTTCCTTGGAACGAATAATAATTGCATTCTGCTTTAAATAGGCAAAAAAAGATAATTGGGCGTCTCATAGCTTTCTAGCCCTCCCTATCTCCCCCCCCCAGTCTTAGTGAAATTTAGGCAGACGATATCTAGAAGGCAGACAAATAAATCTCACAGCGGTTGCAAAAAAGCAACTGAGCAGTTGCGAAAAAAGTCATAAAATCTGCTTTTATCGATTAAGTTTCAAAATCTATTTTGGTACTCCACACAAAACATCGCACTGATTTATTGAACTTTCAAACAAAAAAGAAATTGTCAAATGTTTTATATTTCCTTGATAATAAGAAATAAATAAAAACACAGAATCATTTTAATTTAAAAGCGGCCTCAAAACTCCTTGAATTTCGCATATATCGGAAATCAATATTTAACTTTCACCTATTTGAAAAGTAATTATCAATACCAACCGATAAACAGGTTGAACAAACAGCTTTGCACACTACAGTTATATTTACATGGACTGAGCTGCTTCCTTCGGCAATCGAACTTTTCTTGCATGAGTCACCAATCTGTAGCGGATTGCTACACTGGTAAAAACAGTTATCCATGGGGACCACGTTGAATCACCTTGATACCTCCAGCGGGACACGCATTGTTTGGAAGTCCGACTCATCCCAGGTGGTAGTGGGGGCAGTCCTGCAGCGGATGGTTAAGGGTGAAACACAGCCACTCTTCTTTTTCTCAAAAAACCCACAGCTACAGAGACACTTTGCAGCACATTCGGTAGAGAATTGCTTGCTATCTATTTAGCAATCAAACACTTCCGATTTGTATTGGAAGAACGTCAATTCACCATTTCCATCGACCATAAATCCTTAATTTATGCCTTTTGGGCCACTGCAGACCCGGCATTTGGATTTCACCTCGCAACTCCCTAATGACATGCGACATATCGACGGTACTAGCAACGTTGTTGCCGACGCTTTGTCCCGTATGGAATCGATTCAAAATGCCATATCCGCTCTCGATCTGCAAGTTCTGGCTTACGAAAAGAGGTCAGATCCAGACTTCACGGAAAGGATATCTAATCCCTCGCTGCGTTTCGAATGTTTATCCCTACCGGACTGTTGTGGGTCACATCATCGAATGCACCCACGCCAGGATTTGGTGTGTGCGGCAGTAAGCCTAGAACACTGCTCAGAGATATTTAGCTATTAATGTTCACTCGAGTTATGCTAGATTTAATTGATAACTTATCGTATTTGCCGAGATCATAATTTGCAATAAACGTGTTCTGTGTAATACGTCTCTTTCCTCCCTAGCTTCGCTGTAGCTAAGCTAGTGCAGATATAGGAGATACTACCATAGAGGGTTTTCTAAATCGGTCAAGGCTTTACTAGTGTACCAGTCAGCCACAATCTACTTCTCCTTTAGTTTCCTTCAAGTGAATCATTTTCACTAAGCGGAAGCAATATCCATCTTTTTAAAATCCCACCTTCCTGTATCCTCTTACTATTTCTTATTATTAACAATTGATTCCCCAATAGTGTCAGTTACGTGACAATCGAGCTTTGATCAAAACGAAGGTGTAAATATGTTAAACGATTTCAAACTTCTCCAAATATATTTCAGATTTTCGACTTGCTTTCATTGACACAAAAGGATTATCAGTTATGCGTAAAGTACAATATCACCTTTCGTTTAGTAAACTGAACCTCCTACGTGTAGTAGATTAACGGAAAGGAATTTACTTGTTTGCATTTTCCTAGTCGATTCGAGTACATAGTTTGGACATTTAGTACTAAATACCCTCTTGAGAGTTATTATTATTTTAATCTTAAAATATTTAAAAGTTAATAGCATGTATGATTGACAACTATTTATTTGCTTTTTGTACTAACTAGAGCAAGAAGGAAAACTCCTGAATGCGCTAAACAGTAGAAGAGTAAAGTTGAGATTAAATGAAGTAGATTAACTATTAGTTGGCAATTAATTCAGACCATTAATGGTGCTTTGAAAATAGTAGGTTGGCAACTGAGTCATTGCCGATTTCAAATAAGAAGGCAAATTCGGAATTTTTGTTTAAAAATATAACTTTATTCAATTAGATATTGGCCGTTCTTGTCGATGACCTTTTTCCATCGTTCTGGCAGAGTAAAAATTCCCCGTTCGTAAAATGTCTGGTCTTTGCTATTAAAAAACTGAATTAGGTGTGATCCGACATCATCCGCGTTGTTACAAATTTTACCATTTAAAGAGTTTTGCATGGAACGAAAAAAATGGTAATCCGAAGGCGCAAGGTCAGGGCTATATGGTGGGTGTGACAAAACATCCCAACCCAGTTCCAATCATTTTTGCCGAGTAACCAAAGATGTGTGCGGGGGCCTTGCGTTATCATGATGGAAAACAACACCCTTCCGCCGATTTGATAATGCCGGCCGCTTATCTTCAATTACATCCTTCAGTTTTTCGAGTTGTCCAACATTCACATTTGAATTTATCGTTTGGTTCTGTGGCATGAGTTCAAAATACAAAATTCCTTTGTGATCCCACCAGACTGACAGCATAATCTTTTTTTGGTGAATCTCTGCTTTTGATACTGTTTGGGCTGGTTGATCTTGCTTCACCCATGATCTCTTGAGAGTAACATTGTTATTAACTATCCACTTTTCGTCGCCAGTAACTAGGTTCTTCACAAATGGATCATTCTCATTGCGTTTCAGTAGCGGCGAATCACAGATGCTAATCCGTTGCGTCAAATGAATTTCCTCTAACTGGTGAGGGATCCATAAATCAAGTTTCTTGACATAACCAAGGGTTTTTAATTTTTTTCAATGCATGTATGCGACACATTGAGCAGCTTCTCTGCAATATCTCGTGATGTGGTGTGACGATTTGAATCGATAATGGCCTTAATATGGGTTTCATCCACTTCGACTGGGCGGCCAGATCGTTGTGAATTTTTCAGTGAAAAATCACCGGAACGAAATCTTTCAAACCAATTTCGACACTGGCTTTCTTTTAAGGCTTCATCTCCATATACGGCACATAACTTCTTTTGTGCTTGCGATGCGTTCTTGCCTTTTCGGAAGCAATACAATAAAATGTGTGGGAAGTGCACATCCTGTTCTTTCATTTTTAAATTGGGATAAAAACAAAACTAAAGAACTAAACAAAAAAATTTTTTACTAATTAACCTAGAAGCCCATACAGTAAGAAAAAATATGGGTTAGATGCTCTGGCCACGTTAACAAAACAAAAGAAAGTATAGAGTGAATCTGTCAACAAAAACGGCAATGACTTAGTTGCCCACCCAATAGTTTGATAGTTTACTTTTGAGATTTGGTATACTATTTCTTATCCATAGGTTAGAATGGCCGAATTTCAGGATTCAGTGTCTGTCACTTAAGTGAATTAATGTTCCCAGGGCCTAGAGCTTACTGATTAGTTACCTACTAACTGGAATGCTAATGAGGCACTTCAAATAACCATGATATCATCAGATAAAAGCCAAATGGATTGTCGCGTTTGCATGGGTTAATAGAAATTCCCTGCAGTGTATTCCAGTAAAAATCAACTCACACACTGAATTGCTATGCTTAAATTAACACTGGGACATTATCTGACAAAAATTTTCCCAGAAATTGTTCGAAAATGAATGGAGTATTGGAAATCAGAGTGGTAATGACTATTGAAAAGGTCAGTAAAAAAACTTCATTAGGTTATTTCTGATTGGAATAATTAGGTGAATTGATAAAAAATAGATTTCCGAAGACTGTCAGAATGTGATTTTCTCGAGCGCCTTAATTCCACAATTAAATGGATGTGAATTGAATGTATTGAAACAAAGCATCATCATTAATCTTTCAATCCAACTAAAATTAATTAATTATCCAAACGCTCCTTCACGACATTTGTTTAAATTAAGCAATCAGATATTTCTGAAGACCTCACATTTTGGAAGGTACCTTGTTTACTTATTCTAAAACTTTTAATGTCAATGTTTGTCAACCTATAAATAATTTGATTATTGATGAATTGTTTACTGTAAAAAGTGTAATCTTTAAGACGACGAAGTTATTAAATATTACCTTAGTTTGTGCCGTAGCAGCCAGATCCTCAACAAACGGATCGGAGGATGGAAATCCAGCCAAAGTATCAGATCGATGAATCTCATTACGATCGAGCTTTATTCCCAACTGCTGTTCCAGGATGTCCTCATTCGTACCTGAAGTTGTTCCTGCTTCGGTGGCTCTACTGTCGGCAGGGACTTGAGTGTAGCCAGAATCTCCTCTCCATTCTTCTTCACTTCCATCTGCTTCATTCACCAACTTTCCTCGATTCATGCCCATTCTTCCACGTCGAAGAGTTTTAGCCACTTTGTCTTTCACAACCTTAAAGTACATACTTTCCATAGCTCCATCGTAAGCAAATCTGAATTGACTAGCGGCTATTGCAGCACATGACATGAATACGGTGAAGACAGCGAAGCTAACCATATAGTTCTTCTCTCGGCGTCCTGGGCGCAAGCATGGATGATCAGGGAAGCTCTGAGATTGATCCAATGCAATACCGACGAAGAACATAGCAAGGCCCCAACCCACTGAACCGAACATCCGCTGTCGTCCATATAGAACTTGGGTGTTTTCTTCTATATAGGACATAACTGCTGAGTCAGCCAGGCAAATTGCTGGACTTGAGAAAAATGCCCCAACGCAGATTAGTATCATTGCGAGAATAAAAATTTGATTTATCTTACTCTGCCGATAAACAACTGTTGAGAATAGAGGCATTACTAAACTGCCCTGTGTGTAATGGCTCGGATCAGCGAAAGCCTCTTCCTTAGTTAAGCGAGCATGCTCACCACTTCGATCAATACTTAATGAGTTAATCGAGTCGTTAGAAGCCGCCTTGTGGTTAAGTTTTTTTAAGTCAAGTTGAAGGGGTGATTGTCCAATTCGTGTCTTTCCATAGACGGCTAGGTATGGTTTCATTTCAATAGCTTCAATGTGGTCACTAGTGACTTCTCTGAAAGGCTCCATTATGCGAATATTAAAGGAATGTTTGGATTCATTTATCGAAGTACTTCCAGAAACAGAAACCAGACATCCTTCTGGTTGAGGTCTAACAAATCCAAGACCAAGAGTGAACACAATCCAACAGAGAAGGCTGATCATTAGGAATAATTTACCCTTCTTCCAACGATCTGCGAGACCACTCCAAAAGGGAGCACCTACCCACTCAACCAGAGACCTTGCACCACCCAAAGCTCCGCACTGAGTCGCATTCATTCCAAGCTGTTTGAAGTAGATGGAGAGGAGAGGGAATAGTGAGCCGAAAGCCGCGTAGAAGAGAAAGTAAAAGAGTTTAAATATGAGAAGCGACCGGTTTATTGGAGAGTGAAACCATTCGAGTAGCTCCTTCTTCACGTTTTGCAATGTATAGGATGGCGGTGTCGCCTGTGTCTCTTCCATAGCAGGTTGAGTTGCTGAATCCTCCATTTTTCCTCTTTGGATCTGTCTTCTAAATAGTTTTAAAAATGTAAACTTTGCCATTTATTGTAACCCATCAATGTAAATGCTATTCACATTAGAAGGAAATATCTCGGTGGTTTAAGCAAATTAAAGCACACAAAAATCGCAATTAATTTGTAAGGCGCAAATCTGATTTCTAGACTGAAATATCATAAATTGTTACTCTTAACTTCTTTCAGTAAACTATTTAAGCCCTTGTCCACACCTCATTTTTGCGACGATTTTACATTTAAGGAGTGGGGGAGGGGAAGGTGGGGGCCATTCAAACCAGGGGAGTAAAATTAGTCGCTACTAGAAATAGATGCGCTTTCATAAATAAATAAATAAATAAAATATTCATGAATGTCATCTCCAAGGCATATAATTGGTAGGAATGATTAAACAGCCTTCCATCGTAATGCTACCTCTAATATAAGGATTAACACACTAACCCATATTTAAGAGATCGTTAATGAAACATATAGCAGTATTGATGGTAGACAAGAAATGAATTAAAAACGTCGACCCGTATTCAATAGACTGAGTAATAAAGAGAAAAAAGTCTAGGTCAGCATCCCACACCTAATAAATGGTATGCAAGTGTCTGAAAGACTATTCAAAGTTTGTAAAAAATTGATGACAATTCGCTTTTCAATTTACCACAATTATAGAAAGGGAAACTTACAAGCTAGTGGAGAGGAGAGACGTTGAAATGAATAGGGATTGAAAGACTGGAATGGGGAAAGGTAAGGCGGGTAACGCATCGATTTCTGTGTGAGTAGAATATGAGAACGTGCGCACGATTGAGGGGAAGAGAAAGTTGTCTTTTGATTGGTTAGCGGTTTGGAAGCTTGTAGCGTGCAATAGCAAGCAGAACACAATGTAACGGGGGGGAATGGGTGGGACCTATCGCCTACCTATCTCGTCTTTGAACAGTTGGAGCCAATCCCAGAATGAGCTCATAAGTATGAACGCTAACAGCTTTCCAAACTCTAGCCCGCGTGTGCCTATTGAGTTAGGCTTAGAGAAGCTAAGTTGTCGCAAATTCCTTCGATCTTCGCTGTCCTTCTTAGAGCCATTCTATTTTTACTCACTATTGGGTTTTACTCAGAGCTTTCAATGTTTAAAGACAGTATCTATAAAAGCATATTGATTTTGGAGTTTTTAATCTGGCAGAATTCGCAACAAAATTTTAAGAAACGATCATTTTATCTTTGAGTAAAACAGAATTTATTGGGTCAGTTCTTAAATAGACATATTTCTAACACTAAATATTTTAGATTTTCTGAAAACAATTCCATTTTATCTTAAATCAGTCTTCACTTCAAGAACAGGCTAGTGAGAAAAGAAAAAGAAGTGTGACTTTGGCAGAAGTACCGACGACGAGGGAGAGGGACATATATGACAAACAAGGTGAATTCTACTGCCAATATGGTTTAGTGATTGCGGAGACTAACCGAACATACTTCTGGTCCCAATATGTGCATTTGCAAGAGAACAAGAGTAATGTATAAAATTAACCTTATGCCAATAAAAGGATTAGACCTCAGTTGCGACAATAAATTAGTGATTACCCACCATACACTGTTATGTGACTCAAGTAGCTTCAGCTATAAATAATCAATAGTAGAATGCACAATTGCTAAGATGGTGCCCTTGAGGTCAAGCTATGTAATTGAGAATACCAAGTTCTGACATGATCCTGGAGTATCATACTTTTAAAGACAACGTGATTATCGACTATCTCAACAAATAAAAAAAATTATTTATTATATTCCGGTAAAATATTCTTGTCGGGAAAGTTAATAAAGTGATTGTTGAGTAGCCCAATCTGATTTGTCTGCCCTTCTCCGAAGTTTGGACGAAATTTAAATCAGTGTTGTCCATTGCGCGGTTAACCAAAGTTATCAAAACCTGATTCCTTAGCATAGAAGCGTCGAATTTTTTAAAATTATGTGATTATCAGACATGAATGTTTTGAAAAGTCTAATTAAAATATAAATAATAAGTTGTGCTATTTTCAGGATAAGGTTATGAAAATCTTTAAATATATTAAAATGTGACCAGTATTTGATCACAGGAAAAATATACATTTGATAACTACACGTTTCATAGCGAATTTTGGTCGAAACCTATGATACATCTTCCTATTTTCATTTGTATTTATTAAGAAAAAGCAATTAAAATTAAATCTCGCTTTGCGTGAAATTATTTTAAACTATCTAAAAGAGGTAATTTCAGGGAGATTTTATAAATGAAACTAGAAACAATGTCAAAGTATAATTGCGGAATAGAGCTGTAGATATATGGGTTATATTTCTCTACAGAGACATATAATGTAACTTTGACGAAATAGACAACAAAACGAAATGCAGTTACATTGATTGACACATTTGAATAAAATCTTTTGTTAAAAATAATAATGGGAATTTCATCTATAGTATGTAATATTTCAGCAATTTCCGCAAATATATATATTGTAAGCGAAGTTGAAAGTAAGAATATATTTGAAGAAAGAAAAATATCTAAACTATCATGGGCTTTACTTGTATAAACCTTGGTTTTTAATGAAGAAAACATCTTCTCTCGTTCGGCTGTTGAACTTTCAATACCGACATTAAAAGCGCTGCATTGAAACCGGTGGTACATTTGTGTGATTTATTTCGATTTATGGTTGTTGACTTATGCGCAATCCGAAATTATAGTAAATTATGTCTAAAAAGAGTTTAAATTCACTAAAAGTACCTAAAAAGGCAGCAAAAGAATGTAAGTCAGCAATCTACGTGCAATCATTACAAATAACTTCATATGCATACTTATCTTTTAATTTTCTACAGCTACCTTAGAGCCAGTTGAAATTGATTCCAATGATTTTACGGAAGAAATTGGTGTGCATTTGCAAGATACCTATCGATTTCGAAAGCTTGCAAATGAAGCCATCAAGATTGAAAGTGCCTGGCTTATCCACAATCGTAGCTTAGATGAAGAATTTGTAAAAGCAAGAAAACGGATGCAAATTGGAGATTCTCTAAATCAATCAAAGCCAGTTAATGTTTCTTCCTTTTATGGCTTCTTATTTTCCAAAAGTTGGAAGGTTGTTATATCAATTGCAAATAACGGTTTGAAAGCTGGTAACGTTCAATATACACGTCTTGGAAAACCCGAGAATGGTAAGCAAACCGTCGAGTTAGATTAATTCCCAGTAGTGTTTCTCATAAAGCTAAATCTGTTTATTTATATCAAATTTTTACATAAAACTTCTTGGTCCCAAATCTTACCTCAACAGTTTGCATCTTGACCACGAAATTTTAAATTAACAAAATTATTAATGAATGGAGCTAGCCGTGCTTGCTTCAAAATATCACTCGGAATAAAATTAATATTAATATATTTTTGTCCCTCGAATTTTCCCAAAATCTTTTCGAGGAGTATTTTACCACAAAACGCCTGTTATTCTCTCACAAAATCCCACATCCTTTCATCATAACCAACATGACCAATGTGTTTACCTAATGCCTAATTGCATGTCAATCAATCTTTTTTGTTATCCACGTGACCCCAGATTTCATTGAGTCAAAATTGGCAAAAGATTTGCGCGTCTTTCATTATAAAACTAGTTGGGGCTAAATTAGTATTCCAATCAATTACTGTCGTTCACAATTTGCAAGTATATTAGTTATTAACTCGGTATTTTATCGTAATATGTGTGACTACAATGTTCCTTCAAATTTTTAACATAATAATTAGATAAATTTATAGTTTTCTATTAGCTCATCGAGATTTCACAAGAATAACCCTCTGTGATGTTTTGAAAAGTTATGATTCGCAATTATGTAATATTTCCTTGCTAGGAGTTGTTTTAAGCCAGTGTGCTGATATCGGACTTGCCCATCTTTCCTACTCACAGTCCCGAGGGGATGAATCGTACTATGCGGATGAATTGGAAGCGGAATCCGATTCGACTTGTTTCTATATAATTCTAGTCCGGTGGTTAAAGAGCAAAGTTTACATTGTCTCACTGAACTCAGAATCGGAGGAGCATAATCTGGATCCCCAACCTAATCACACTTGTCATATGACAAAGTGGAGCCGTATGGATCCTCTTGATCCAAACAAACTCTCCCTGTCGGACGTCTTTCATTATAACCAAGTAAGCGATACTAATTAAGTTAATCTGTGTCTGAAGCTGTGACGCACGTGAATTCGTGCTGTCATTAATGCTATTTTCATCACCTTCGTATGTAATGAATTAATTGATTTATATCTTATTATTCTCCTTAAGGTCTACCTATACGAATACAATGACGACTTTGAATTAAAAACAAGTCTTGATCATGTTGTGCCTTTTGCTGTGATCAAGTGCCAGTGGAACATAACCCCGGAAATTGTGTCTACGTTCAACACTTTAAATGATGGCCTCATTTTAATTTCATGTCCAAAGAAAAACGTGAGCAATCCGAAAAAGTCCCTTCTTGGTTCACCCCCGTCTTCTTTCAAGATTCCCGTTTGTGAAAGCAGTGTCCCAAATGCTGATAAAGTGGTAAGTTTGTAATTTCTTTACTTTACCATCCTAAATTTATTTTCAATCGTATTATCTGGTTAAATTATACAATTACCGTAATCATTGACACCGAAATCAAAGGTTCGACTAAACGCAGTGTATTTACAGATTCTAATACAAATGCTAGCGTTGAAACGTGAGTATGTGAAGTCATTGACGTAAAATTTTGACACACCTACAGGAATGTTAGTTTGATGTTATCATTTCTGCAAACTTTGACTATGCCGTTACTATTTTTAATGGTTTAAAGTCTATTTTCTGCTATTATGATCTATGAATTAGAACAGTAGTGTTTACTTGGACTTGGAGAGAAAGTAGATAGAAGTACATCTACTAGAGGACTTTTTATGAACTCAACTTAAACTATGGATATTAAAGACTTTTTTCATTTGGTTGGTGTTTGGGGGTCGAAACAGTGCTTGACTACTAGTAGTTTTATTCCTGACTGTCAAGCAGTCAAGAACGACGTTCTTCTGCCTATTGATAAGGGCTGTAAGATGCATGTTACAAATAAGCCATTATTAAAGCAAGTTGCTATAATAGCGCTTAGCAATCCACAATATTTCTGTAGACAAGACCCGTTGTGTGTGTGAGAAAAGGACCATCTTGCTACAATGCTCACTTGCATGTTTCGGCATGTGACTTTCTCAGCTTTTCTCATTGTACTACGCTTTGTGTAAAGGCGTGCGTACACTTACCATGTTGACTTGCTTAGTTGCCTGCTTGATCTACTTTCAATTGCAACGTGTCTTCTGACTCACCGGGTAACGATCATTCCAGAAACCCAGGGGATTGCTTATCACGAAACAAAACAGGGACTCTTCAGCTTTTAGGTTTTTTGTTGCTGTCCTTTCGTTTACATCTTAGTATGCCTTGGTATAGCGTAGATAAATCTTACTCAGGCGTCATTTTTCCCACTTCTAAAGTCATCATATCAGCATATTATCGGGTAATAAATGTGAGAAAAAGAAACAACTACCTCGTAAGTAAACCGCGGTAAAAATTCTTAAGAAAGATGATAAATAGAACTGAGAACACTTTAGGACTCCGACAAATTTAAACTGTCCAATAATTAAATTAGTAATTTTATTTTTCAGACACACTAGTGACTAAAAGTTTTGTCACTTAACGGTGGAAATGCCCATTTAGATTCCAACTAATGTCTATTTCCCAATCCAATTTTGGGCACTGGATAATAAGTGTCTTAAAATATCTCTGGTGTCGTCAATTTCATTGATACGTTTAAGCCTGCATTGGTTCAACGCTATCATATCCTGGGCATAACCAGCAGTGGCATTTTCTTGTCTTGATCAGAGTAATCCTTTAGGACAGCAATTGGCAATGATCATGGATTTTCAGTCTAATGTCTTTAATCTTTAGCTCAAAAGAGGTCGTCACGTATCTGCTCTATTTGCATCACCCGCGACTCCCTCGTATTCATTTGGAACTGTACCAACAGTACCAGAAACGGCAACAGATTATCCCAAATATCCCATCCGCAGAAGAGTCAAGCATGTTCCCTTGCCAATCAGCCCCTCCGATCCTCTTATAGCAAGTGGTCGGGCTAGGCTGGCTGCTTTGGAGAAGAGGCCAATCAATTTCCCCACTCCGAACGGGAATGTTCCCTCTTCGAGCATTGTAAATACGTGTTATCTTGTTTGGCCGGTTTCACACCAACTAGGCCACTCTGATGGTGCGGCTATCAACAGTTGGCAATTCCCTGTGGATATTTTGTCTTTCTATGGACCAACGGCTGGGATATTTGAGGGCCTGCAAGTCTATTTGCTTTTGTTTGCTTGCCTAGGATCTAAATACTTTTCTAGATGTGCTTTGCACGTTGGTGTCTATCATAACCTAAACTAATATATGTATTTATACTCAAGGGATATTGTCGCTTATTTTCAATCGGTGGTATCCTCATGTGGTAATTGATTGCTAGAGATCAGTGATTGGCATTAATTTCTGTCTAGTCTTGGGTCATAAGATCGATGCTCATGGCTGCATACTCATTGATTTTATAGACCGCCCACAGTGGCTAATTCTTTCCAAAAATTGGAGGGGGGGGGGGGGTTTGTTGAATGTGAGGTTCCCATTATTACTAACTCCAAGGTAGCCTATTTACTCAAGTCGAGACTTTCTAAAGCATCTAGAAAGTTTCGTCCTTCGTTTTGAAAGTTATCGTGGGTGACCACTTGGCTCCTTTTACCAGACATTGTTATCTCTTTCGTATGTATCCACGTATTGGCCACCAATCCAACCTCTATTTCTTCCTTATTCTTTCACAATTGCGCAGCACACCAGTAGGCTTAATTCAGCTTTTTGTGCTCTGACTTTTGAAGTTTTTTCTAGCATCTTGTCTTTTAGAAAGATCTAAATCGAGCAGACTTTTCAGGTAGCCTTATCATAGTAAACAGCCAATTTACTCCAACATCTGCATTCAGAAAAAACTAAAGCGTCGATAGCTGCTGATCAATAGCATGGCAGTTATTTCACTAATATTCGATTTAGTTACGTGTTTTCACTTTTTAAAATATTTTTTTAAAATTGATAATAGGTTTAAGATTATCGTACTGATGCAAAACATAATTTTCGTTTGTGATTCTCATTTTCCTTTTTTAGTTTGTTTCCTCGGCTTGTAATCTCAGATTTGATCTCCTTTTCCCATTTGCATCACGAGTTGGCAGGTATCCGAGATCCGATCACCTCTCCACTCGATCCAACCGTTAGTTCTGATGTTCGGGATCCAAGGAGACTGAGAGAACAGCTTTCGAATCCTGCCCCACAACCCCCGCCCTCTTGTCTTCCCTACGTTCGTATTGATTGCCTCCGAGAATGGACAGTGCCGAATAAGGAGAATGTTGAGAATGTTTCCCGCGAAACGCCTGGTCAGTTTGCAGGATATAAGGGAAATTACTTCCTTCTTTCTTTGCCAGAAGACTACAGACAACAGGAACCAATAATCAAATTGTTTGATACATTAAAAATGAGGGAATTGGTGAGTAACATTTTTTACATTTGTTTCCTATTGGTTAGGTTAGTAGGTTTGTTTGTTTTTTTCACAGGCCTGCCTTATCAAAATGCCTTGCCAAACAACTGCGGTTTTGTACATATTTCCGGATTCCGAATTCTCAAAGTCTATAGGTAAGTCATGAATTTATTTATACAGCAAACGTTTTTCATTGTTTATGCTACTTTCAAGTTAAACAATGTTGTGTGATACTCTCTTTATAGTTCATAATTGGGTTGTATCCTTGTGTTTCTTCTAAATACTGAATATGCACTCTTAAGGTTATTTAGCAGACACACTACTGAGCATAGCGGTTATCTTAAAGTGCATAGTTTCATAGACAATATCATCGAATTTTTTGCACCTTTCTGAGACTGGACAATATATCCCTAATAGAGCACATTTCAATCAGACCGCATAGTTCTGTGGTTGATAAATGCATGTTGACTTGACATGGGGAAACTTAGTCATACTCGTATCGTCTTGTTCACAAAGATAGTTAATCATGACGTCAGACGCCATAATTATAGTTGCAAAATTCTTGTTTAGCAATACATTCGGAGGTCTTTGTCATTTGTCAAAACATAAATGAACCTGCCAAAATGAAAATAACTTTCTTTTTGGGGTTATTGCCTTCTTTAGGTTGTCTGATTTTTACTTAGAGGGTTCAGTTTGTTGACATAAAAAATTTGAGCATTATAAAGTCAAAATTTCAATGTCCAGTTTGTTGAGCCCTGACTAGAACGTTTGGACCCTAAATTTTGTGCATCGTTTTCCCGCTTGTTTACACTCTCGTAATGAATAACAGGTTAATCGGTGGATTATAGTGACAATCCCATTCCCTGTCTCCATATTAACCGAACCATCACTGCTACTGTTCTCTCATCTTGCGTAGGTATACCAAGGCTAATTGATCCCGAGGCCACTTCTTTTCATGGAATACTACTTCTACCTCATTCTCTTTTTCAAACTCCAATTGAAAATTCCGTATGTCCTCATATTAACTGCTCTGAAAGGGAAGAACCAAATGGTGCGTCTTACATTACTATATCAATGCACACTTCAACCTGATTATTTCCTTAAGAGTGCTTTCTTTTTAGCCCAATGGAGTATTCTTACTACCCAGTTCGTATCGGGTTTGCCGAATGGAGGCGAAAACTATCGTCAGAAGAGTCAAGGAAATTCAGCTAATGCAGGTGCTGATTGCAATATGGATGGCCTCATTGATGTGGATGACCCGTTCAATTTCACACCAATGAGTCCACAGGAAGCTTTAGATTCCTTTGAGGAAGGTGAAGTTACTGAAGTTCTCCCAATCCCTGGTGCACCAGTTTGTGGAAATTCTGGCGATTCCTCTGCCGCTTCTTGTGATATGGAATTAGAGACTTCAATTGATTCTAACATCCCTATCTCTCCTGTAAAATCATCCTCCCACTGTTTCAGTGCGGATGCTGCTGAAATTCCCGTTCCAGAAATTCCTGTTCAAGTCAGCCATCAATTCCTTCTTCCTAATGCTGTTGACTCTGATTATAACGCTTGGATTAGGCAGAGGAAGGAACAGGAGAAGGTTCATGAGTCATCTTTAGATGTTCGTAGCTGTGAATACTTCAGTCCAGAGAGTCCTGAGCAAGTTATTGATCTTGGAGTTATGCCCTCTACACAAAAATCTTTTAGATCTCGAAATCAATTTTCCTCCACACGTAAACGTTCACCCAAAGAGGAAGAAGAAGGAGAGATTGTTGATGATGAGGAGGAATCAGATTCCTCAATTGAAAAATATCGCTCATCTCATCGCCACAACTATAACGACAGCAAATTCCGAAAAGATAATTCGAGGGATCGGACATATTCAAGACGAAGGCGTTCGCCGCGGTCACCATCTCCGATACATAGAAAACGTTCTAGATTTTCACCACAACCCCCTCTGCCACGTCGTAGGTCGCCCCCACCTTCTAAAAAACGGGATCGGCATTTGTCTGATGTGGACTATCGAACAACAATATGTCGTCCAGAGAAAAGTTCGGTTAGTCCGAGACATTCGCGGTCGAAACCGGTTGAGAAGGATATGGACTATAGAGGATATGATGTATACGTACCGAAATATACAGAACAATCCAAGGTACTTCCACCAATGAAAGTTTTCGATTATAGCAGTAAAAATTCTCTTCTTGGAAGTGGTGATGGGCGAGGAAGATATATGGGTCGTAATGAGAGGGGAAATTCAACAAGTGTGCATAGCCGGTTCCACACTAGAGATTCCACGTCATCACCACCACTTCATCCTTCGTCTCATCGACCTAAATGCTTGATTGATCGTGTTCCACAACTTCCGCCTACTTCTTCTCTTTTACCCTCAAATGTACAGCGTCATCCCTATTCGTCGTATAACCTGAATTCAGCACCTAATTCATCCCTTAGAAGGGGAAGGGGTCATGTATTAACAGCAAGACATTATATAAATTAATGAAATTGCAGTGTGTAAATAGTAGTTTACCCACGATTTCCCCATTTCGTGTACAAAATTAACAGCCGAATTTTCACAGCTTTGCGAAAAAAAGGTTTGCGCAAACGTACTCAAGTAGTGTATGGAACGCTATTTTATTCTATTCATACAGTTATTATAAATATACATTTATATTGGAAATATTGTAGCAAATTGGTCTTTTATCCGAAATTGGGATTGTTCGAACTGTAAATTCAAAACTAACGAATGGCAATATTTATACAATTCAATAACTAAATGTTTTTGAACTTTTGTGCTAATTACATTTACAGATTGTGGACGCTTTGTAGCGCAAGCCTGTCTTTAAGTTTTAGTAACTTTATCTGTGCTACTAATAAATCTTTAAGTAGAATATTAAAAATATTTTTTTGTTGGATATGGATTTGTGATATGCACAAATAATTGAAATGCTAATCTTTAATAAACTGTTCATATTGAAATAAAAATCGGCTTGGATTTAATCTGATTGTATTGCTGTTATAGGCTCGATGAGCACAGATGCCCGTTAATGGTAGCTATTTAATTTACCTTGGTTTATAGAAAGCACTATAAACCCCGGTTTGTTCTTGAAATCTTTTCCTTTTCAATTGGCACATGCTGAGAATTCGCATATGCAATGGAGTCGTGTCTTTGTAAATTCTTGTTGCACACCTGTCACGTAACAAGTTACGTTGCTGCTCATTGCTTTACCTAAACTTAGCGCAGTATGTATGATTGGTTTTTTTGGCTCTCCTAATAGTGGGCCAAATTGTGGAATTCTCTACCCATTTTGCTTAATATTTGGGAGTTAATTTAATAACCATATTTAGGATGAGTTCGTTGCGTCAGCATATCAAGCAAATCTCACTTTGCCTGGTTACACACTTTCTATCGGCATGAGGTTATTTTCGCTTATTTTGAAGAAAGAATAGAATTAAAAGCTGTCTGGGGAGGTGTATCTTAGGTTTCTAGTCGTATAAATGCAGTTATACGGCAAATTAAGAATTAGTCTTAAGGCAGCTAATTATATAATAGAAAGTAACGTTGTGATAGGGAGTGTCTCCCACTATGTAAAGAATCATTCATCATTGGAACGTTTTGGGACAAAATGCAAATGTTTGACTAATTTTATCATTTATGCGCATACTAAATTACCTAGTCAGCACCATTAACTGGATATATTGCGGAAGCATTCCAGTTGGCACCAAATTTTTATCCAATCAGACATCTAGAAGAGAAAAGTACTGAACTAAGCTATTTATATGACTATAAAGCAATTGGTTTTAGCATTAAGCGAAATGGCGTCTAACAAGGGTGGCTACATGGTATCTGTTAAATAAATTGAGAAGGAGATCGTAATAACCTTTGTAGGAATCAGACCTACAAAGTCGCTATATAGAACTGAATAAAGTAATCAATACGCACACCTGGTTCACATCTAACTTGCCACCAAGTTTTGCAAGCCCACTGCAGATTCCTATCTATTCACAAAATCCTAGGCTTTCTAGCGGTGAGTGCTAAGATGCCACTTCATTTGGCATCTATGGGAGCCAATATTATAATTATTAATACTCGAGAGAAAGGAAAATGAAATTTGTACTTTTAATTTTGGAAAATCGTTTAGCAGTATTGGCAAAATAGTGCAGTAAGGGGTGAAACAAGAGGGTGTATATATAATATACCAAGAACCTTAAAATACAGAAATTTGGATCCTTAGAGTACCCTGTAGCGGGTTGATGCAATAATAGGCCTTCACCTATGCTCAATAATCTCTATGGCAAGTTCTCCTAGTTTGGAATAGTTCTTGGGACTATCTGGCCAACCACAAAGCAATAGAGAAAACAGACGCATGGAGAGGAATACGTTTATTTTGGCTGTTTCAACAGACAGACCTAAATAATTAGAATACAATGAAGGATCTATTAGACGATGTAGGGACTATTAATTGGTGACTGGCTGAGGGGTCCCTTAGCCCAGGTCCCACTTAATCTCTACGCGACATCTTTGAGTCTAACCGAGTGCGCATGCAATTTCTTTGTATAGCCAAGACGGCACGTTGTGCACTCCACAACCAATAGCTCAAAGTTTACCACCCCTCATGATTTGATCCCAAAATGAGCTAAGTTTCGCAATGCTAAGAACATAGTGTCACTAAAAGGAGAAATTCCAAAGTAGCTAATCGGCCAATTGAAAATTAAAATTCAGACTTTAGACTGTGAACATCACTTTGGAGGTCAGTCTTGCCACCTTAGTCAAGTCTCATACCACATCACATTTTGTACCCAGACTACAATCCTATGTGCATCTACCTAGTACATGTTTCCGCGCGCTTAAAGGTCTTCTCTCAACCATTTGAGCCATCCCTCTGTTTACCATAAAAATATCCAACAAACAACCCCCTTCTTGGATACTTGTTGTGAAATGAGTATCGAAAGAAATCAAAGGAATGATTACACAGATGGACTCTAGTTTCTTATATAAGAGACTATCGGAAACTGATCTATGAAACCCCCACTTGTCATTATCCCTACTATACCCGAATATAGGGAAGATCAAAACGGATTCCAATTAACACTAAGTTATTCACTCGAACATTCAGTCGAAAATATGGCATAAAATTAAACGCAGAATTAAAAGTAAAATTCGCATCGAAGGTAACATCGGCAAATCGGCAGCAAATAAATTTAGAATTACATTTAACGTTAAAATGTAAGGACTATTCCTGACAGTACCACCCAATGTTCTATCAAAGAAACCCATAAAAATCAACTCTTCAGTTGATTTTGAAATAAATCACACATTATCACAAAAGAGTCTATAATGACAACTGAAAATATAACACAAAAACTTCGAAAAAATACTAAAATAATTATTGGGGGGGGGGGGGGGAGGATAACAAATAGAGAAATGCATAAGTTTTATCTAAATTACAGCAGAAAATGAAAGGCTAAAGCATAATAAGATCAAATAATATAAGATGATAACGATCATTTAGATAAGCAAAATAACAGAACAGGCTAGATTCCATACGGTTTAAGGATAAATTTCGAATCAACTCTATTCCTTATGAAATAGTAAAATATAACAAGGTCTGATTACGACATAATGACAAATCACATATAAGAATAGATTAATAAAAGTGTAATTCGAAGTTACAAATCAATAGCAGATTCGATTTGCTTTACGGGACCCGATGTTCGATATCGCAGGTGATTAAGAATAGTAGTAACAAGGAAAAGTATGAGAAGAATAACGTTCAATCCACAAATGATTGAAAAATCTAGGGTATAAATTGGCATTATAAAAGCTTTAAGAGTTCCAATGCATGAAATGCCAGAAGAGCCTGAACAGGTATATTCACCGGAATCTGCTACCGTAACATTAAAAATCCATAGTGATCCATTGATAATTTGAAATCGCCGGTCCTTAGAATCCATCCCAAGCGATAGTGTTTCATTACCAGGTAACGTCCACGTTACCTCAGAACCTGAGATAGAAGGGCAGAAAAAGGATACATTCTTTGAAACTTCAGTTTCTACTTTAATATTTTCAACAATCAAATCACATTTTCCCAAAGTTAAATAGAGGAAAACATGAAAGACGAAAACACAGAAACACATCACTGGTAAGAGAGGAAAATATTCAAGCGAACAACGCGGCTGCGGGGAAAACCGTGAAAAAGAAATAAAATCGTGATTTATTTATTTTCCAAAAATGTAAAGAATTTAACACCTTTTGTTTCTTTATCATTTCAGAAATTATAAGTACTATATTCAAGAATGTAAGGCAACATTTAAAATGTTATATTATTCTTTTATCAAATGACTGATTAAAAATCGTGAATTCGGCAAATACCTGTCTAACTTTAAGGAAGGGGTCACAAAAATATTACAATAGCCCCCCCAAAGTTGGCATTAACCGACGGAAACTTCGTTGATAGCATAATTTGCAAATGGGAAGCAAAAGGGTGAATGACATTTAAAAGTTAAATGGACGCACTCGCAGATTAATAGCTCGGGTTTGGTTTCCTGTAATAAAAAGTACGAAAGAATAATTCAAGTCACAAATGGCACTATAAATATTTAATAGTAGTGTTTAGCCTGCCCTGACCCAATCCTCTTAATAAAACATTAATTAAAAAATAAATAAGCAAAACCATTGCTATCCGAGTGCGATATTTAGCTTCCCTACAGGCATCTAAGCTTTCTATACTATAATTTCAACATTGAGATTTCAATCACAATGTCTTTAAATCGTTTCTCATTATTTTATACTGATAATAACGAAACACTTTTTTCTTTTGCTTTCTTATTTAAGGTAAATCTGTAGAAAATAGATAATAGGATCCCTAGGTGCAGATTTCAATAATGTGTAGTGTTAGAATAAGTGAATTAGAACGCGTTGCTTTTGGAAAGGACCTTAAAAATATACCGACTTGTTAGATATGTTTGCTAAATTATATATATTTTTCTAATCTCGATATCCACCAGTATATGATTTTTTTCGCCACGTGATGGGGAGTACCTCTAAGGCTATATATGCGTATACTCAATTTAGAATTAAGGCTTAGCTTATCTAGTATGCGGTAGCTAGGAATCTTCTAAGATGAAGTGATTTCTATTATTTGATATGGAACCAGTTAATCTAAAACATGAAACATGATGGCAATATCAATTAATTGCATTGAGGCAAATAATATTGATTTTAGGTCAACATTATTAATCAAAATAAGCCAGGAATTTCAAAATGTGGTGTAACCCGATAGTTGTTTTAAAAAGAGAAATTAAGTTGGTATTCTATTTTCTAATTTGAAAGATAAAATGAGATGAATGGTGTTTTGCAATCAAAATCATTGTTACTTTATTTACCGCACGATGCGACTTTTAAATTTATAGTGTTGATACAAGTAGATTGACATTTTATTGACAAACGACTTTGCAAGCAGAATTGAGAAAATCATGTTATAATTTGTAATATTTTTTGGTCAAGAATAAATATAACAACGGATGTTTTACGAAAACTTTAAAATCATAGAAAGAAATTTATAGTATAAATCAAAATTGTAAAGGTAATAGCTTTTGCAATCGTTTAGTTTTAACTAACTAAAAGCTAAACTAAGTAAATTGCGCGTTCTACGGCCTACTATATTGATATAACGCGTTTTGTAATGCTAGAACCCATTTTGTGATTTTATGTGGCAAACATGGAAAACTTTGTACTATACGATGAAATTTGCTCATTTGATGAGCAAGCGATTTACAAAGCGCGGAGGAAAGGAACTATTAACTTTTTAGCTATCTCATGCATTGATAAGAAAAAGAGAACTCACGTAACCAACCATGTTCGTTTAATTCGAGCATTAAAACATGAAACAATTTTAAAATTTTACGAATGGTACGAGACAAGTAACCATTTGTGGGTTGTTATGGATTTATGCACTGGGGGAACACTTGATCGCATGCTTCGTGAAGATAAACTATTTCCTGAAAATGCGATTGTGGAAATCGGTCTTCAACTTGTCTCTGGACTACAGTTTATTCATTCATCGGGAGTCATTTTTGCTGATTGGTATCCAACAAGGGTAAAGCCCTTTTCTAATTTCTCATTAATATAGATATTTCTTGACGGCTATGGAAATATTAAATACTTTGATTTCTCCTATTCTCGTCTTGAGAATGAAAAGTCTTCAGATATACTTTCTTCTACTACAAGTGAAAATTTTAATTTTGACGGGCTATCTCATTCTGCTCTCGCATATACAGCCCCTGAAATTATTGGAGGAATGCGAGCGACTAAAATATCTGATGTCTGGGGTTTGGGTTGTATTTTCTTTCGTATGTTCTTCGGTATCACTCCTTTCTCCTCACAGCTTTCTTCACATGTAAGTATCGCTATATTTTCCATCCTGATTTGTTGTTATGTGCATTTATTTTCCAAGTTTCTTTCCCATAGCTTATAAATATGATTGTATCTCGAGATATTGAAATTCCCATTCAATGTACGCGAGAACCTAGCAAAGAACTATGGTCGCTTTTATATGCGATGCTTACAAAGGATCCAAGTAACCGTATTGTTCTTAAAGATGTTGCCAAACATCGCTTTTGGAACCTAAATTCGCAATCCGAAAGTGGTAATCAAATGACGTTTTCTGAAGACATTCTTGATCCCATCAACAGGCCCAAGTTTGTAGGTTCATATTTGCTTGCATTTTATCCTATTTAATTATTTTACCTCTTCGGGTAAATGTTTCACTTCATAATTTAGAAGTATTTTTATTGTTTTGATATGCATTGATAGATACTTCTCGATAGGGAGCATTTAAAATGTTTTTTAGTTATCCTTAATCTTGGTATTTTGATATTTTAATCCTTATCGGAATGTTTGGTTCATGTTTCTTATTTTGAAGGTAATAACTATATGTTCTTTACTTTGAATCTAATTATAGTTTTTTATTTGTTTTCAAAGACGTCTTCCCAATCATCCGATATCGATCTTGCAGACGGAATGAATGCGAGAACTCAAACTATAATGGAAACTTCTGTTATGGTAGTGCTTTCAATGTGTTCACTTAATCTCTTTGTACGCCATAATTTAATCCATATTTTTGGTTTCAATTCTCAGACTCTTAAACGCTCCGTTTCTATGGGCGACAACGCTTTGGCCAGTGCTGCGTTACTTCCTAATAAGACACCCAACAAAAACAGACAGAACTCTTCAGTTACACCTAAAGCGGCATCCAAAGAAAGACTTGCTCCTACGAATGCTCCCAAAACACCTTTAGAACTGTCATCTATGGGGAATGGTCATCCAGTTGGGGATGCTAACTTCACACTTCATGCTCAAGCCTGTCCTGTTTCACTGCGACCAGAGATCTATGATCCTAGAAATCCAAGTAGCGCTAGCAACTTGGCTAGTACCACGGCCAGTAGTAATGACGATATTAGCTGCCGGAGTAATTCGAATACTTTTACCTCGCCGGTAGAGTCGAATAAGAAAGGTTTCTTTGAGTCTAATGATAGTCTATATGCTCCTCTTTCGCCTATGCCTACTGAAGACAGAATGACAAAGAGCGAATACGTTTTTAGAAATTCAGGTAAATATCCCCTTCACTTCCTTGCATTTTTATATGTTACTGTATTTTGACAGCGTATTTTTTCATTAGATACCTCTAGCAGGTTTGGAAGTTCCCGTATTCCCCATAACTCCGCAGGTGATACCAATTCTTCTCTCGTAACTCCACAAACTCGGGCTCGAATTGCTCTAATCTATCCTTGGGGTGATGACAATTCAAGTCTTCCACAGGAGTCAAACCTCCTTGCATCACTTATCTCTAATGATTCAAATAAACTTTTCGTGTCAAATGACTTAGAGGAGTTTAGCACAATTGATAGTGGGGTGAATGATTCATTTCCACTTAAGTCTCATCCTACCTATGTGTCTCAACCTCTTGGTGATTACAAAAAGTGGGCACAAAGCCAACCTAAAGCAGATCTCCAATCCCTTTTTGGCATCCCGATTTTATCCCCATCAACTGTTGAGGCGTTAAGCAAGGAAGCTATCAATAGTCACTCATCTCAATTGCTTAATCTCTTATCGGATTTCACGATATTTCAAGATCCAAAGAACCGGCCTTCCATCTTTCTTAGCTATGTTGCTTGGTTTCTCGCTGTAACTACCTTAGAAAGCGGGAAAAACGATGCAGATAAAATGTTGAGAATCAGCTATTTTTTGTCTGCAGCATTTTCCTTACTGAAACTCGATTCAATATCCGCTATTGTGAAAACATGGCTTTGCAGGATAATTGGTTTGCTGGTTTACTGTTCATCTATCTTAATGCAACATGACTACTCGAATCATTTTCTTCATTCTCTGATCTCAGAAATTGCGCCTTTTTTGCCGGCATTATTGACAACTCTTGTAGATATCCTCCGAGAGCCGGCATTCAAGGGCGTTTTCCCACTAAAGCAATCAGGTGTTGCCACGTTGGGGGAGATTATAATCTGTGAAATGTGCATTTGCAGTCGGGTACTGCAAGATCCCGTGGCTTTCAATGATCTCAGTCCTCTCGGTTACGATGTAACGAAGGATCAATGGCAATCAGCTATTCTTCGAATTATCCGTTCACTTTCTCGTGCGGGAACTGCCCCCGGTAGTAATCAGTACTCTCCTCGTAATTACTCTAGTCCTGCTTCCGCAAAGATTTCTGATAGAAGTAACTCGAGCACAAAGTCATCAACTTCCTCACCTGCGACTGAAGATACTGTTCGATTAGCAGCTGCTAAAACTCTAAATGAAATCATTGTAGTTGCGCTCGGACACAAACTGATGCGAATTCTACAGCATCTGGATGTACAGAAGTTGGATAGAGTCCACCCCGGTGTTCAGTTGGCCCTTCGATTATCATCCTCACTCAGTTCGTTCTTCGACTGTCTACTTACTTCTGAAACGATTAGTCGAGTTTGGTCTGATGGTATTATTAGTTGCGGTGGAACAAGCAACGGTTTGACTGAGGCTAGAACACTTGGTTCTGGTGCACAAATAAAAAATTCTTTTGTACAACAAGTTGCTTATGCATCTTGCAGTGCTCTAAGTGGTCTAATTCGATTACGACCTTCACTCTTTATGTGCGGTTTGGTTGATAGGAGTGGCAGCACGACATTCATACAAAAACTCAATCCTACTATTAGTGCTAAAGAAGGTCAGACCACAGCTTTCATGGCAAGTTTCAAAAAATAGCGGGTTAATGCAATCCGCCATTAATAAACTGTACTGAATTGATAATCTTGGTTGATTTGTAGGCTTGTCTACTGTCGGCAACAGCTACAGGTCTACTTCTCCCTCTTGCCTTTCATAATAAACCTCTTGGCCAATCCTTTCTACGCATCGGGATGAAATCAGGAACTCCTGCAGCATGTAGGCGGTTCCTTACCAACTCGAAGTTCATGGCCTCAATAATGCGACAGTTGGAGTCTCCCCATGTAATGCTTCGAGCCAAGTCTTACTTGCTAGTCTCAGCAGCATTAGATTCATCATCGGGTTGTAGTGATACATTGATTACAGCTTGTGAGGCTCGGCTTCCCTCGTGCCTGGAGAGAGATCTACGTATGACAAATCTGCACTACACTCCTCAAACTACCTACGATGATGATGGAGTGCTAATTCTTGAAGAAGAACACAAGGACCATAAAATTGCCTCCATGCCTCTGGGATTGCAATACCTTGGAATTTGTGTCAAACATCTCTCTGATCTACTGGTTGAAAGCCTTATTCCTAATATCTGCAGTCAGGTACGTTGATACTTATAAAGTCATGGGTTTAGATTTGTTTTGGATTAAGGTTACCAAGTTTGTTAATTTTTATCGTTTAAGCGTTTGGTTTGGGAGTTAATTGATTTTGATTATACTAAACGAAATCTAGCTATTTGGAGGCGATAATTATAGAACTGCTATTCTGTTTTATCAAGTTGTAAGCCTGGTTATCTAAACCTCGATTTTGGTGTCAATAACAAATTTCAAGTTTCGAGGGGGTCACGAAATTATTATTAAGTCATAATGCAAGTTAGAGCACTTCTTCTAATTTATTTATTGGTAATTAGCTTGAAGTTATGGGTTAATTTTTATTACTCATAAAAACAATTAAGCGGAAGAATTTTATACTATTTCTTCACATAGGAGACACAGGAAAAATAAGTTGGCTAAATATTGACCAAGAATTAACTTGAATGAAGTTGTTATTTACTACAATTGCTTTGGGTAACAAGACACTAGTTTTCTACCACAGCTAAGTGCTCAATTGTGGCTATTTTTGTTACTTATTTGTGATCAAATTGATAATTCTAATTGATTGCGCATATTTAAAAATTGTGAATAATTAAATGGAATTCACGAATGTTGGATAAATCGACACGTAGAATGCGTAAGTGCGGGTTATATGCATTTGCATATGACGAAAGAAGACCAAGCAAAATGACAAGGGCTAGAATGAGGAGCTTAAATTGACTTATAGGAAATCGATTAAACCAAGGAAGCTAATGAATAGCGAAAGTCGAAATTTGCGTCCAGATCACTGACTGCACACCGATCAATGTGAATCTTCGATTTAGCACAAGTATACGTCTTTTTACATAATGCATTATACATTTTGTAGGTTGCCATAGCAATTGGAGCATGTGTTCCACAATCAGGAACCCGATCAAAGGCGGTTACAGTTGCAACATCCAAGACACCGTCAAAAATGACTCTGAGTACCTATCAAGATCGACCAAAGCGGAATATATCATCAGCTGGAGGTGTTCATAAACCCGAAGTGGGGCAAACCGCCCGGCAGTCTTCTACCAATTCAACACATGGAATTTCTCTGAAAACTTGTCTTCCCGCCTACTCATGTCTGCCCGGAATCCTAGCTTCATCTGCATCTATCAGAAACTTCCTTCTCCTTCCACCCAAAAACTCGAATCATGCCTTGAAAGATGATGGATTTTGCTTGATTCAGTTTCTGGCAAAGATTATTGAACATTGGGCTTCGTCTACCGGTAAGCATACCTTCATTTATAGTCTATAATAGTGTTTGGGTCCTCAATGTTCCAAAATCTGGTTGTATTTATAATTTCCTATTCTTTACTCAACTTGATCGGTCTGTGTACCCCTATCACTTTCATGCTTTTGTCAGCAAATTTTATACGTTTAAATGTGAGCGCTTCTTTCCCTAATAATTATTTAGGAAATGAATTTCTCTTTGTCGGTAATTAGTATTTTGAGTTATGGCTTTCTTATCGCCTTTACCTTATTGCACTTATTGGCGACACCACTGGTTGTTTAAATGAGCTGCCTTAATATTACAATGATCTCACCTTTCATGTGAAATTATGGCCTTGCTTTTTTTCAATGAAGTTTCTTATAAATTAAGAAAATAAGGTTGCATATGTGGGATGTTTTCAAACTTGATTTGTTTCCCTTAAGACAGAATGATGTGCATAGTCCTGCCAAGCACCTCCTTTACAGCTTGCCATTCTCATATCAGTTGTGGCTTTATACATACCTTTACTCTTGTTCATTCTGGCGTCCTATAGCTGAAAAGTAGTTTGATTTAGGTGAATGATTCATTAACGCAGGAGAATCTGTTTAATTGTTAAAGTTTTACCAAGTAATATTGTTTCGTAAATTTTTGAAGTGGCTCTTTCATCTCATAAATCTTCGAGACCACTGCATCAAGGTGAATTTTCTGTCCATATTTACAAGTATTTTGAGGTTGTCTTTAGCAGAGTGTGTGGTCACTAAGTTATGACTCCACTACTGGCTCCTTTGTTTTCATCCTTATGTGAACCAAGGTAAAGTTTCACTGGTGTGCACCTATTGACGTGTCATTCATCATTCAATAAGGAATGGCAGAATGCAAACCTTTCATCGGATTGGAATCAGATTGATACTCCTTCGCCTCAAAATTGGCCTTTGAATCATTATTACTGTTCTAGGCGTTTTTCTTAATTAATAACTAATGTCATTTACAAATGACTGCAGTTTCCCAGTAAAACCCACTTCTACTAACTCATTTTTATTAAAATTAGGATACGGTGTAGAATCTGCCCCATTTATGATATTATCAACATTATTATGACATTTATAATTAGCACATTAGTTGACTTCGGCTTTCACGCCTGGGGGTGGGGGCAAAAAAGTCCATAATCCGGTAGTTGACCTCAAACTGCCATGACCCGGCTCTATGACATTATCAACATTGATAGGAACGAATTTCACTACACTTAAACTTCATAATTATCCCAATTTTCTATTACTTCTAAGCTGTAGAGAAAGTCAAATGCCTGTAATTGTATATGCTTCCTTATATAATAGTATGATTGTATTAAAATGCCACTCACCAGCAAAGTCATTTGGGGCCCGTGGAAGAATGAGGATGGCTAACAGAATAGTAATCATATTAAAGTACTTGCTGTCTAAAGGCCACAGAACGCAAGACAGATAGGGCTAAAAATGTTCGTACCGGATTAATATGCTTTCGGAAATATTTATGCGTTATCTCACTTGACCATTTTCATTTTGCTTACAAATTTAATGCTCAATGATTTGGCTCACAATGTACACTTGTTGTGCCAATTCAGACGTTTCCTTCCCAGCATCTACCGATACTACTACGGCTTTGTTGGATACCTTGTACATGGTCTAAGTAATTATACTGATTTAGAGAATTGTTCGTTCAATAGAGTACTCAAGAAGTAAAGTAGGCCAATCATCTTACTCTTGTTGAACGTATGGAATCGGGTGCTCCTGCATTCAAATTAATCTGTTAGCAAAGTTCATTCCTCTCGTAATTAGAAATCCATGTAATCAATCTTAGAGCCTACTCCTTTGCGAGTATTGAGAATATTGATGTCTTTCGCTTTATGATAAACAGTTATAACAGTTAAAATTTAATCCGAAGTTGCCCCAACTGCTTCTTGAAATTAGTGTGCTTATCCAGTTACAGCAAGTCCTGTTCGTATTGATTTGAGAACATAGTATCTAGTCTCCTCAATTTTAAAACCGTACGATACCTTGAGCGGACAATATTTAAAGGCTTGTTTGCTTCCAACTGCCGTGCTGAAAGACAAGACAAGTTATGGTGGTTTTGTGGGAAGGATTTACAGTTCTGACGAGGCTGTCCTGATCTTGGCTAATGTCATCCCCTTGCTAGTGTTTAACACTATTCATGTTCTTTTATGTCATAAAATTAAATAGTCACCTTTTAACAAATACTAATTCTTCTGACTTCTACTACTATTACCCCCCCCCCTTCAAGTTATTGATCACAAAGTCATTGGATATTTGCCAGCAATACGTGCTATCATATGATGACTTGAAGTTGTCACGCTCATCCCTGATCGCAGGCCTGTAGGCCTGGCTGCTAGTACTTCTTAAAGGCAGTAAAAGTAAATCGGTGGAGAAAGATAAAGAATGATCACATGTGTGCGACTGTAGATTGCGCGTGCACTAGTGCTTGTTTTTTTTACTGTGTGCATGTGTGTGCAGGGGGGGGGGGAGGTTAAATCTTTCGCACTACCACTCAACGCTCTCTCCTGCTCAAACACTCACAGAGCAGGTGTGCAGGCAGCGCACAGAGGTTTTGGTATTGACTACGGCTTGCTTGCTTGCGTATTTGAAATGTGTGTGTGTGTTCTGCTGCTGTGCTAATTTCTAATTCGCTGCGGACTACTGCCTCTAACCTCCTCACGCATACACTCTTGCATAATACAAACTCAACTTGTGATACATTACTGCCTATCACAGAATTTAAATCAGAAATCTATCATGTATCATTGTTAGTGCCACTATTCCTAAGAGCAAATTACCATATTTTTCAGTTTACTTTGAGCAATTGTAATCATTGCTATACTGAATTGTTTATTCCTTAAGCTGACATACACATAAGAGTTTATTCACTTTACTTGATCACAAAGCTTCGCATCGAAGATGTTAGTTGAATCAAGAAATGTATGTAGCTTTCTCTAACGCATTTTTGATTACGTCTGTGAACTCAGCGATAATACGTCTTAATACTATAATGCCTTAATATTTATTTATTAATATCAAGTGGCAAGCGTTTTGATAATTATCATTAGTCCTTTAGTTGACTTCATGCTTCAACTAGAGAAGGAGGAACATCAAAGTGAAAAAAGTTGAGAGGGGGAGGGACAGAAGAGTGATTCAAAGATATAAAAGAGACAGACACAAAGGTAGTAAAAAGATGAGGTGAGTACTTTGGAAGTGGTGGAATATGACATACAGTGGGGTGGTTGTAGTTTGAAGTCAGAAGTCAACTGCCAGTTATTAGACTTTTTGCCGTATGTGTATACGTTGCCCAGAGTGCACCACGTGGAGGTAAGTCTAAATATACATTGCCCAGGGTGCACCACGGAGGTAAGTCTATTGCACACCCCATGATACCTATCATAACGCCTGCCATTTGAAAGTACGTTGTCCAGGGTGCACCACGTGGAGGTAAGTCTATCGTATTCTTAAGAATAATTGTTTAGAAAACCAGCAAGGGTTGAAAGTTGCCCAGAGTGCACCACGTGGAGGTAAGTCTATCGCACTCCCCTTACCTTAATATATAAAGCCCATTACAGCTATTTAGATAAGCTTATTGGTCAGTCGCCTCGTCTTCAAGAAAGTTCACCATAGTCCTGTTTACCACACCTTCAGTATACCATTTACTGGGTAGAGGGTAATTGTAAATGATCCTTGGTTCCCGATGTCTCTGGTTCAGAAAAGATGGAATTTTTGCGTCATTTAAATTATGATCTAGTCTCCTTTTGACATTAAGATCTCAGTGGATGGATATTTTGGGGGTTCTATGTTGATTGGCCTTAGCTATGAAGACTATTGGATGAAAATGAAACCCTACGGCGATTTGGAAGATAAAGGTTTCAATGAAAAACAAATGATTAATTAGCTGAGTTAGGGCCAGGTAATGGGGAAGAAATGCCAAATGAATGGGGTCATACCTTGTTCTACACAAACTTCCCCTTTGATATTTATACTTGGGAAGACTGATATATTGTCTTTAAACTCTCATTCTCGCCAGGTATCTCCTCTCTATCTATTCGAGGATCTTCCATTTAACAAGAAACCTAATTTAAGCAACGATGCAATAGCATTTCCAAAAAAAAGTTTAAAAAAAGTTGGTTTCCATATAGAAAATTCATTTGTTTTAATTAGGTGTGACTGGTGACAGTTGAAGTTCATTAGCCGATTGAGACATGAATTATCTCGGCCTCTAATGAATATTGGTTTGGAAATTCATATTTCCCATATATATTGAAGGTTTCGATCTCATCTTTGTTTATCCCCACTTCGAGGGTTTGTATCAATGCACTTAAATACTACTTCAGCAATAATTATGCGGTGTGTGTAATACGTGGGGAAGGAGTTTATACCTGTAGTTGGACGAACGGAAACAAGTGTAGTAGTGGTGGTCATTTATGAGGGTGTGGCCTCTGTTGCCAGGGCGTCGGCAGTTTCACTAATTTTCTCCTTTTCAGCTTCACCTCACAATCATACGCGTGCTTAGTTACCTATCAACATTTTTTTTCACTCTTCATAAGTTGCGTGATACATTTCCCCAAATTGGATTTGATCTGCTTATTTATCGCAAGCAAGGTAATAGTTAAACTGAGTCCTAGCCAATCTAGATCTGATTTAGTTGTTTTGAAAATTTGCCTCTATGGAACGAGGCTGCTGAATTGGAATATTTTAATTTGGCGGAGTCTCTTACGAATAACTCGCATTCTTCGTTCCATTTATTCCCATCAGTTTTAACCCATCCTATTGGCATTTCTATTCATGGAATGTGCATCGATGAGTAGTGAATTCGCGTTCTTTGACTTACCATGTGACTACAATTAACGTGACGCCACCGATGCACAGGGGTCTACTAAAAAATTAGTGTAAAGTTTCTTAATTAAGGCTATTTAGATGGCAGACAAGAACTTTACAGTTTCGAAAAAAATTGTTATTTGACCTATCTAAAGCTATCTGAGATAGTGATAGTTCATCAAAATCCTCTTGCCTTGTACGTATCAGAATAACAATGTCTAAATATCTGGGTACGTATCATTTTGAACGGACCATTCCTGACTATTCTGGATCTCGAATCACTTTCTGTTTTATGTACTAAAGGTTACCACTTTAAGGTACCTTATCAGGAGTATTACTACTTTACGGTTATCTTCCATTTACGACATTGATTCGGTTAACTTTTTAATCCTAGTTACACAGTTGTCATTTTTTGTACCTTCCCATTTAAAAACCACGAATGTAAGAGTTCAATAAATTTCACCTGATGAGGCTACTTCGATTAAATGACCAGAATCACTAAATATCAAAATCCAATTGATTCTCACCAATACTGGTGAAATTTTTTTGTTATCAATCTGGTCAGTAATTTCTTTACCTGCTCGTGGTTATTTTTCTCTAAAGCTCATCAGATATTACATTTTTAAAACTGCAGTTAGAATATTCTAGTCATTAATTCTGACGAAATTATTTGAAATTAGCTTAGCTTTTGATATTTCCTGTTTTTTTGTTAAAATATTTCCACATTTTGCGATGTATATAGTTAACTATTAAATACATTCCTTTCTGAGGTGGATAATTTTACGGATGTGAAAAGATAATATTCAATTTTTGGTTGCCTCTTGATTCCTATTTTCTGTTATATTAAAATTTTACTGAAAGCCACATGGGTCATCAGCAGGCTAATAGCCAAAATGTAAACTGCTTGCAATACTTACTAAAGCCGTTTTAATTTTTTAAAATTTGTTATTGGTATTTCAACATTAATATAGTTGAGAAGTGATTTCTCATGATGACTTATCATTGGGTGTGCGATAGACTTACCTCCACGTGGTGCACCCTGGGCAACGTATACTCATACGGCAAAATAGTCTATTAACTGGCAGTTGACTTCTGACTTCAAACTACCATGACCCTACTGTATGTCATATTCGACCACTTCTACAGTACTCATCTTACCTTTTATGCCTTTGTGTCTGTCTCTTTTACATCTGTGAATCACTCTTCTGTTCCACCTCTCGACTTTTTCACATTGATGTTCCTTCTCCTCCCTGCGAAGCCTGAAGTCAACTAAAGGGCTAATGATAACTATCAAAACGCCTGCCATTTGAAATCAATATTTGCTTAGTTCTAATTTAAATAATGCACATCCGATTTAGTGTATTTTGGACATATACGATGATGGAACGGAGTTTTCTTCAACACCTTCATAAATAATGCTTTCATAAAAATGATCTAAAAAGACTGTTTTAAAATTTGTGGTATTAGCTAGTATAGTGTATGCACTCCGAAAATTGATTGGTTTAAATATCAGAATTTATGGATCTCTACGTCAACTCAGAAGGTCTATTTCACTTATTTGAGAATAACAAGGTGTTTTTCATGATTATTGCTTAAGAGAGTCTAACATCTTAAGCACACAAGAAGTGAATTGGATTGTTTACTAAAATGAAACGGTGACGATGTAAAATTTCCCACTTTAATTACTCCACCAAGTAGAGGTACTTAGGTCTTGTCGATCTGGATATAATCGACTTTCCCCTATCCTCAAGTACATACCATTTTAAAAATAATCCAAATTAAAAACACTACTTTGTTGTTATCTCTTCCTTATATGTAGATCTGCACAATTTTATGGACATATTTAATGTAATTCATTGCAAATTGAATGAATTTAGGGGATCATCAATAGTCCTAATTCATAAAAGGCGTGGAAACAAGACTTAGAAGCCTTAGCAGATATTTAGTCAAGTTTTAAATGACCACAACAATTACTCCCAGAAAGAGTTCCATCGACCTTGCCTAGATTCATTTGGTCTAGTTATGCTCTCTCTCTCTCTCGCATGCTGACTACTCAAACTCTCGACTATTTGTGTACTAACAAGAGGTCTCAAAATTTACATAATGCACTTTATGATTATCCACATGCTTCTGTTGTTTTACTTATTTATAACAACGTTTTCCACTAAATCATTAAATTGAAGACCTTCGAAACTGTTTGCTCTTTTATTTCAAAATGGCGTTTTTTATCATAATCTGAATACGCAAACTTGGCGTGACGTCTAGCTTTATCATAATAGGTGTTAGTGTTGGCTATGTTGATTTACCTAAATTGAGTTTCTTAGCCATCATTACTCCTAAATCCCTAAAATGTGCATACGACTGTATGTTGCTATAATAGAATTATGTTATGCTTTCAAGGTTGCTGCTATTATGAATTGGTAGCTAGGGCCAAACTTTAAATGAACACGTCATGACTAGAGATTATATTCTAACAGGCAAATTTGGGCACTTAACTAGTGTAATAAGCCGATTATACTCAAACCATGGTGTTTCGATAAGAAATTATCAAGTGCTTAGTTAGTTGTGAGACTATACACCACAAGTGCTATCACTATTTATTTGCCATCGCTGTCTTCCAGGTATTCACCACTCAGGCAGTGCAGAGAGTCATCTGCTTCGGGTGACCTTGGCCCTGGCAGAGGACATCAGCCGACTACTTGAGGTCGTGGAGAACCGTCGTGAGGACCTCATTAAGGCTCTTCTTCCAGCCATTGCACGTCTTGCCGTTGCTCCCGCCTCGGATTCAATTACCCGAACCATCTGCGTGAAAGTAAGCTTCAGTAGCGCTATGGCCTAAGACAGACCTAGAAAATGTATTCCAGTGTTGGTTTAGTTGTATGTATATATAGAATATGTTGTCTGTGGCCTAGTGATAACTTACCTGATTATTGGCTTAAATGACTAGCTGCCCTATTTGGTAGCGATCAGTAAAACGATATTGAGAGCCCATTTTTCATTGAATTATTATTATCCCTTTTTTGAGCTCTGGAAAATACCCCCCCCCCCACCTTCTCCATACTATGTCCAATATCGAATTCGAAGGAAGGTAGGGAAGTACAAAAATCTACAGCTGCCATAGATTTCCATTACTTAACGAGGTATTTATAACCTTTTGATTGACCTCTCTCTGTCATTGACTGGTTAATAGACCTTTTGACCTTATTGCTAGCTAGAAGGAAGTACCACAATCCGAAACCATCCCAAAAAACCCGATTATGCTTCGCAGTTAATCAGAGGCGTGGTCATATACGTCGAAGTTTGTCAATGAAATTTCTCCAAGAGTTCATTTGAATCAATTTCTGTCTTGGCCCTGACACAATACCACTTTTTGTCTCATTCCCTTCTTACTCTCTTTTAAGGAGTTACTTTCAGTTTCTTAAGTATCAGTACTACAGGCTGTATTGGATCCTTTACGTCTGCTTTATAGCACCATAGCATTGACCAATAAAGCAATAGTCTTTGCATATTGGCAACCACTTGGAAAAAACCCTGAAAACTCCCAAGAGAGCACGTTTGTGTGTCAATCATATGCCGATTGAAATTGAGTAAATTTTCAAACTAAATACATTTGATGGAATTAGAAGGTCAATGGTACTCAATGTCTTAGAGAAATTTGTTGTGCCACTTGGATTGGGATTTAGTCATTCCAACTACTCGCTAGCCGTGTTTTATGGTGGAAATCGCCATTTTTTACAAATTTTAAAGCTGCTTTACGTCACCCAAATAGCACTAGAGATTAAGTTCAGCTTTCAAACCTTTCCAACCTAAATTCCATGCATTCCTACCAGTCAATTTGCGCCAAATTGATTTTTACAGTAATCATGCTATTGCAATAACACCGTCGTTGAAAATCGATCTTATTTGCAGCCTACAAAGGAGAGTCCTACGTTTGTCGTTAAACTAAATACTTTTACTTTTAAGCGCTCTTATTTGCCCTTCAATTGTTTCATAGATCATATTGGATATGCGAAACGTGTGGTGTGATGGCTGTGGCGATACAGACTCAATGACCTCTTCTAACATCAGTCTAAACTACCCTGAGAGCTTTTCAAGCCGCAACCTGGCCTTGGTTCGCTCTCCTCTCTCCAGTGATCGCCTCAACGCAAAACCCTCCTCTGGTCTCTCAGCGCCCCTGAAACGCACCACCAGTGGCGTGAGTCGTACCCCCTCGCTACGAAGTGGTGCCCATGGCGGAGAGAATAGGCGACCCCTCTCGGCAACTGGGTCATCGTCCTCCTCAGTAATCCCCACTCCTTCATCGTCATCTCGGATTTCTTCCTGTCGACCAAATAGCTTCTATGGAAGGAGCTCGAGCGGTGTGAGCAGTCTTAAAGGGTACAAGTACACGTCGAATCTCGCAAATAATCTCCAGGGCCCTACCCCCGATGTACTCCTTGCTGTTGTGGATATTGTAAATACTCTTCTCATCCCTTACGTAAGTCTACTTGAAATACCCTTATATAGTTTTTGCAAATTCAGTGCTTCAGCCTTTGGTCTAGATTTTATGCGTATTTGAAAATAGGTTGATTGCTAGTGGGATTAAGCCACGGTGGGTGCTGTAATGAACCTTGAGAGTTTTGTATTACGAACTTTCTAGAATTTGTTTATGTTTTATACAAAAAAACCGAAAATTGGAAATTATTTTATCTGTGAAAACACTCTTCTTATAATAGCATTTGCAGAGCAGTATAAGTGGAAGGTTTTTAATATATGGTCCCCAAGAATTAAATCTTGATTTCGATTATTGGTTAGAAAATAGGTTGGAATGTAATTCGAAAAGTTCATTCAGATTCGAATGCTCCTATTTGAGCTGAGTGGTGAATATTATTTTCAATATTACGTTTCGTTGTTTTAGATAGGAGTGAAATTTCTAGATTCTCATCCTTTAAAGTGAAGATTCATTTTTAATTTTGATTAGCGAACGTGAGAACTTCTTGGCTTGATATATATGTAAGGGCGTTACTTTCCAGTTTTACAAGAATTAGATTTCATTTGCACAACTTTTAAATTCCTTCTCTTTGAGAGAAGGCGGCAGATTAAGAAGTCGCATTTTGACCAACTGTACTGTAGCTCCATTTAAGTGCTGATCGCAAATCAGTGTTATGTTGACACACGAGGTGAGATGCCTTCCAACTTCGACTGACCTTTAACCCACAACACGGTGAAGGGAAGTAGGCAGGAGTTGTGTAGATATTTGCCGAAAGACCATGAACCACACGAGGGAAGGGGAGTTGAGTTGACGCACGTTGGTGCGTACATGTGTATTTTATATGAAGTCCAAGAAGAGGTACAAATGTGGAAATTTAAACGAGTGTCTCGTTAGGGTGAATAGCTAATGCTAAAAATTCTTCGGAGTTCCGAAGTCCCCTATGGGATTTTTCGACACGTGTTGGGTAATCACTATAGTTTGGAATTTTAGAGCATTACTCAGTAAAATATTGCGGTAAAACTGTTATATTCCTTTTTCCCCCTATCTCCTTCTCCCAAGCCTATCGTTTTCATTAGCTTGAATAATATTAATAAATCTGTTTTTTTCGTTTTTAAAGCTTCAACCGGGTAAGCTTTTAATGTTTATTGGTGAAGGTGAGGTGATGGCTATTTCGCTGCTATTTTTTGGTCTAACACGCATCTATCCTAACATTTGCACATTCGATTTTAACTCTCCTTATTATCTCCCGTTGTTTCCAGACAAATGTTCATTAAAATAGGATTCAGCTTATGGGAGTATTTACTAAATACTCGGCAACTGTATTGCCATAAAAATACAAATTTTCTCTCTATATTTATATGGCTGTTGCTATTTAATTGATTGACAAGAGTAATTGCCTATTGGTTTGAAAATTGCAGTCAACTGTGTGATCATTATATGTTGAAAAAGTGGCCTATTCATGCCTTATCGGTATTGAGAATTAGGATAATTAGTCAGGTCCCATTTCATCATGACACCACGTTTACCCAAATGACAAATTGAGGTCATATTCTTGTCCTTAAATTACATATCTTTTTTAATGAGTTCACATTGGAGGGAGTTTTACACCTTATCTTAAAGCTCTTACTTGGAATCGGTACTTGGTAATGGTTTGGTGCGTTACCACACTAGTTTAAGATCATCATATTTGGTGGAGTAAATTTACGATTACAAGAATAGTCAAGGGTTGGGAGTAGAGAACTAATAGCTTCCATTGCTGGGGCAGAATGAAAAAGTTCAACTGACGGAATTTGTGTCTTGGATTCTTGGTGTCCTTTCATTCTCGAATCTTTGAACGGCATCTCATCAATACCATTTTCTTGCCTAATCAGATACTCAAATTGATCGATCCTATTTGTCTAATCACCACTTTCATATATGCGGTCAAGTATAGAACATGGCATTAACACATTTGACATCTTCCTAACCCTTCCATGTCTCCTTTTGTTGCGGTTTAAGGCGCATTTGTGTAATTACGAAATATTGGATGACATGGTGAGTAAATGTAATTGTGAGGGCTCCCCTAACCAAATTTTCTTTTTCTGGTTTGGTGAATTTGGCTTTAACTTATGACTTCCCAGCACAGAAGAAACATGAATGATTCTGTGTTAACTCAGTGGAGAGCTTTTACTGTCAATTTAAGTATGATTTCAAACAAGTGTGTGTGTGCATTTGTAATCACACTCATTAAGCAAAGCTAAGCTGCTTTCTTAAACTGCATACGTCAATAATCCGATCTATTATTTAACCGTCATCATTCACATGCGCACATAATCTATGATAATCATATCGATTTATTCTTTCTTTCCTCTAGGCACCTCCCCTCTTGGATCTTCGTAAAGCTTCTCCAGCGCCCTTTTTCCTTCGTCTCCTTCTAGATTGTCTTAAGTCATCCCCTCCTCCCTTCCTTGATCCCTCTTTTTTCAATCCATGGCGTCTTGTCAACTTGCCCCATCGTCTTGTCTCCCTCCTTGCCATGTGTAATACAGAATCTCATCGCTTTTCAATGCACTCCCTCCTTACTCTGAATATTCTCTCCACTCTCTCAACCCAGTGTCCCCAAGAGTCTGGTATTACTCAACTCTTACTTCAAACTCCAAGTGATAGTACGAAACCTAATATTCTTACAGTTGTGTATAATGTAGTCGTCGACATTGGCAGCGCTCTAATACGGCGAGAGGTAAGTCTTAATTGTAACCTGAAAACACTAACTACTTAAATTAATTAAGCGAAGTGGATTTTATCTGTTATAGCGCTATAATTCCTCTGGTAGTTCATTGACCCCATCATCAACTTCTAACATCACCTCGTCGCGAGGATTTCCCAGCCTGTTTAGGGTCACAAATGAAACCGTTGGGGTGCAGCATTTATTCGTTTCGTTGGAGTTGCTCAATGGTTTGCTTGATCTTATAACGAGTGTGGTGAAGTATGCCCTTCACTGTCGTCATGGCAAACCCATCGTCGATTTTGTGCAGCAGAGGGAGGGTTCTCAACAGTGCATCTTTGACGTTTTGCCAAATAGTCATGAAGGCATTTGTTCTGTTGCTGAACGAGTAAGCTTTCAGCTAGGATATGAGCTTTATAACTGTCAGTGTTGTGAATAATCCTGAGAATTTATTTATCTTTTAGCTTCTCTCTTCATCTCAACCACCCAAACATTTACCAGGCATTCTGGCATCAATTCTTGAAGTTTCCTTTGACTCTCCAGGATTTTTATGCGGAAGGAAAGAGTTGGAGTTACAGGGAGAAGTAGAGAGCTCTTCATTACCTGGAAATCTTGTGGTCCTATCCCTTAACGCTCTTGCAGGCCTATCTTCCCTCTATGGTGGAGCCTACTGTCGAACTGCGCTATCTGCTGCTGGTTTGCGTGGAATAACAACGGCGTTGCAGCGAAATGACAAACGCAATAACACGAGGCTTCTCTTACGAGTCCTCCGGCGTCTTTGCGAATCTGATGATGTTTGTCTCCAGCGGCTTACTGGCCCCGCAGCTAAACCTCTGATTTCTGTAATTTCCAAACTTCGTTGCATAGAGAATGGAAATTCTGGCCGCGGTGATAGTGAAAGCCAAGATCCAGTAACAGTTCGACTTGCTCAGGCGCTTACGGAACAGCTCAAACCACGTCCTTGCACTCTATTTATTTAGTTTTGGTAAGTGCCTATTGTTCGCCTCTGTATTTGCACTAACAGTCTCACTGAAATGGAAGAATCAGCATAGTTTTGAACAACAAATGAATTAAAGGAGTTGTCAGACTACCATTCAATTGATTTTGTGATAGTATCCGTTACCTGGTTTTTTATTCCTTATTCCTCTTCCGTAAATATTTATCTTATTGATCGTCCACTTGATAAAATCGATCACTTTACACTGATTAACGTGACACATTTAAGGTATCTAAAATATGGCGATATACTTATGAATTATTGTTTATGACTGAAAGGCATGGAATGTTTTATCGGATACAACAGGGTAAATACGCATATTTCTGTGTCAACTTTTTGTTTATACTAACTCAATTGTTATCATTATGCGACTTATTTGGAGGGTCATCGACCAAGTTTTCAGAGACGCCTTCAATGTAATATCAACTTTATTCTGGATGCAACTTAGTTTTAAAGTTACAGAAGTTAGTAAGGGACTTGGCGTTAACTGTTGCTGTCACAAATTAAACCTAACCTATAAGTGACATTACCTTCACTCCTTATAGCCAACTTATCGTGTAGGCGATGTATCTGAGGCTTGGCAAGTCCTTTTTATTCCCGTCCGTTCGTGGGGTCTTACCTAATGTAACTTAATCACTTCATAGCGTTTTCTTACTTTATCTCCTCCTTAGTTTAGAAAAGTTCTCTTCTTAAGACCTGTTTAATGCACTTTCATGTTTTAATGTTTTTTGCCCTAATGTGGTCGAATTTATAGGTAATAAAAAGTTTATTCTTCGAAATTATTAGGTTGGCAACTATGTCATTGCCGATTAAAAATAAGAAGGCAAATTCGGAATTTTTGTTTAAAAATATAACTTTATTCAATTAGATATTGACCGTTCTTGTCGATGACCTTTTGTCATCGTTCTGGCAGAGTAAAAATTCCCCGTTCGTAAAATGTCTGGTCTTTGCTATTAAAAAACTGAATTAGGTGTGATCCGACATCATCCGCGTTGTTCAAAATTTTACCATTTAAAGAGTTTTTCACGGAACGAAACAAATGGTAATCCGAAGGCGCAAGGTCAGGGCTATATGGTGGGTGTGACAAAACATCCCAACCCAGTTCCAATAATTTTTGCCGAGTAACCAAAGATGTGTGGGGCCTTGGGTTATCATGATGAAAAACAACACCCTTCCGCCGATTTGATAATGCCGGCCGCTTATCTTCAATTGCATCCTTCAGTTTTTCGAGTTGTTCAGCATACACATTTGAATTTATCGTTTGGTTCTGCGGCATGAGTTCAAAATACAAAATTCCTTTGTGATCCCACCAGACTGACAGCATAATCTTTTTTTGGTGAATCTCTGCTTTTGATACTGTTTGGGCTGGTTGATCTTGCTTCACCCATGATCTCTTGCGAGTAACATTGTTATAAACTATCCACTTTTCGTCGCCAGTAACTAGGTTCTTCANAAATGGATCATTCTCATTGCGTTTCAGTAGCGGCGAATCACAGATGCTAATCCGTTGCGTCAAATGAATTTCCTTTAACTGGTGAGGGATCCATAAATCAAGTTTCTTGACATAACCAAGGGTTTTTAATTTTTTTTCAATGCATGTATGCGACACATTGAGCAGCTTCTCTGCAATATCTCGTGTTGTGCTGTGACGATTTGAATCGATAATGGCCTTGATATGGGTTTCATCCACTTCGACTGGGCGGCCAGATCGTTGTGAATTTTTCAGTGAAAAATCACCGGAACGAAATCTTTCAAACCAATTTCGACACTGCCTTTCTTTTAAGGCTTCATCTCCATATACGGCACATAACTTCTTTTGTGCTTGCGATGCGTTCTTGCCTTTTCGGAAGTAATACAATAAAATGTGTCGGAAGTGCACATCCTGTTCTTTCATTTTTAAATTGGGATAAAAACAAAACTAAAGAACTAAACAAAAAAAATTTTTTTACTAATTAACCTAGAAGCTCATAGAGTAAGAAAAAATATAGGTTAGATGCTCTGGCCACGTTAACAAAACAAAAGAAAGTATAGAGTGAATCCGTCAACAAAAACGGCAATGACGTAGTTGCCAACCCAATAGCTTGTGTAGAGTACTGGGAGCCAAGTACAAAGAACACGTCCTGACGAGAACATAGCTTAGTATGTTGTCTCAGTTATCATTAATTAGGTGTAGAAAGGAGATAAACCTGATGAAAGTCATTTACCCTCAAGCCACGTATCTTCAATGGGAGTTTTTCATGTGGCTAAACACTAAGATCTCGGATACAATCCTGTCCCACTTGTTATCTATTGTATGGGAAAGGATTTAAAAGTCAGTATATTTGATATGACTCGTTATTTCAGCACAATAGTACGCCTCCAATTGCCAGGCAGCCTTCCCTCACATCGTAATCATGTCGGTGGTTTTTTTGTCCTGACCGTAAGTTCTCCTAGAACTATCATCCTTCCATATTCTACTGGAAGTTGGCATTTATTTCATTACATGTAGAGCAAAAGCTTGAACAAACTTCGACGTGCAGGTTATTGAAGTATTCCCAGCTCCATGAGACCCATTTTCAGACCGACAATTTACCCGGGCATTCCTTCCCCACCTCTCCCTCTCTCCTGCTGCACTTTTGTATACTACACAATCTTCTCGCACCCATTACTCCCATTCCTTTTTTAACCTGCATTTGGCTGTGCTAAAGTGCCTCTCACTTCCAACTCGCGAATTATTCAGCCACCAGACTACTTAATGTTATCAGAATTGTAAATATTACCATTTTTCGTCTCTCCCCCCCCCCCTTATTAACTTTCCCTTTCCACCACCTTGCCTTGACATTCCTTTTCTGAATACATTTTATTAATAGGATGCATCTTCCTGGTCCTGGCTTTTAGTGTACATTTAGTCTGGCACTTATTATATGCTATCGGGCACTCAATGAGACTAGTGTAATGACTCGAGAAGACCTGCAGCTTTAACAAGGGCTTATCTTCTTTTTATACTCAAACTGTAGCTAGAATATGGGGGGAGGGGTTGAATGACAGCCTAGTTGGCCAATTGTAGTCATTAGCCAGGCAGTTGCTAAGACCATTTGATTGCCCCAGATATGCGCGCGCAAAAGAGTAACAAAACGGGACACGGAGTCTGTTAAAAGTATTACAGAATTCCAACCGGGAAGCTGAATGTATTCCAATCACACCCACCATTTACAATCGCGAATAAGTACGGAAATGAGCAGGGAATAGTGTAGCTTCCTATTGAAGAGTACTGACTTTATGACAATGCAATATTAGGGCGTATCTTGGCTAAAATAGTAAGTCAGAGAAAGAAATATTGGTCATTTCATTTTCTGAAACGGCATACTTTAAGGTTGGGTTTTTTTGCTACTTTAGGCGGTCAAATAGTGGTTCTTTAATAAAGAACAAATGAATGAAGATGCATAGTAAATGCCGATTTTAAACAGAAAATAAGCAAAGAGGTGACTATAACCATTATATCCCAATCATCAACCGATCACCAACGTAATTCTCCCATCAAGGAGACATTTGCTTAACAGCTTCTTAGTTGTAGTCCCCCAAATTGCGTGAATTTGCCGAAGGGTAAGTCAGATATGTAGCTGTTTACTTAGCTGTAAGTGACTTAGACGGGTAGCTTGGGCTTGCAGATTGGTATCGTCATTTAAGGTGCATCCGCACGCATTCGGTCGAATCTCGAATTTGATTGGCTTGAGCGTTTTATCCAATCCGGGGAATGTAGACTGACACGTTGGCGCATGCGGCCAAGGTGTTAGGACCACACCAGAAATCAACATGTTCAGGAAGGAGGATTCTATTGCACTCGCTTTCCTGTGCATTTTTATCAATTTTAACTACTCCAGAGCTTCAATGAGTGTTGAAACTCACATCTATTCCTTCAAGTCGGAGATTCAATCACCTGGGAGTGAACATTTACATGGATTAATAAAGGGACACGTTTTGGTGAATACTCGAGTGATCGGAGCAAGGAGGAAGCCTTCTGGAGCCACAGGATCAGCTCATAGACTCTTGCTGCATATTCTTCTTGAATTAGAGGGTTCACAAACACCACTTCAGGGCTTGGTTCTAAGAGATGAATCCGGTCTGGTGGAAAGGATTTATCTACCTGCTTCTTACAATTCCTCAAATATAAGAATAAATTTTCTCAAAGCTGTGGCAGGGGTTTTCAACTACCATCACTTGTTTGTACCTGGTATTGAATATGATACATCAGGAAAGTGTCGAACTTTCTATGGAGAAGTTGAAGTTCCAGGAGACACTAAAATTATGGTCATCGACAAACAGAAAATTGCCTGCAAACCTATTGGACAACCTGCAGATGCTGGAATGTGGAGCGTCTCATCAGTTTTCAAAGGAATTAGCACAACTAGTTCTTGGATCAGGTACAACATTGAAAAGGAAAGTGGCGTACTAGTCAAAGCAACAACCCATGAACAGCTCTCGATTGCAGTCTCAATGAACGAAGATGCTACCGGTGGAAATGATATGAAAGTTAATAGTGTACAAGAATTGGAGTTGTTAAAGGAATCTAGCAGCGAAAGAAAGAGAATAATGGAAAAATTACAAAGCTTTTTAAAAACTACTCAATCGACTGATCCTACGACGGTAAGCAAGCTTAAGGAACCCCAATTTATTCTTGCATCTTTCTTAATTATTAATATATTAAAACAGTTATACCAATTACTGTTAGTATTTTCATAAATTTAGATGGAAATTAACTTCTAAATCAATATAAATGATCAATGGTGCTCACTTGGTGAAAATGGGATAGACCCTACTAAAATACGACGATTAAAAATAGGTTTCCCTTTAAACTGGATTCATTGACTTTTATTTTACTTCTGCCTTAATAGAATAAGTTATATTTTAAATTTATGCATTCAGATGGCAGTTCAATTGCTAGATCAATCCATCACAATTCAACATCTCGCTCTCTCGATTCCACCACAAAGTGCTTCCGTTGGCTGCGGAATTCAATCCGCAGCTTTCACCAAGGAGGCTTTTGACAGTCCAAAGGCTAGTTTGAGCGTGGATAACTTAAAAGAACTCTTAAACAAGTTCAAAAAAGCCACAGAAGATTCCGCACGCGTGTCTTCTGCCCATGCAGCTCTCCAACTTATTCGATTTCTCCGATGTCTTTCAGCAAATCAAGCATCGATTCAAACTTTAGCTGCAACACTTGAATTCATTCCATCTTCACATAGAGAATTCAATCGACAACTTGAATCGAAATGGTATAGCCAATTGACTGATATTGTGATTGACTGCGGAACTGAACTCTGTTTGGAGTTGCTACGACAGCGTATTGTTAAGGTCACTCAACTGGCTGACCTTGAGAGAATTGGCAGTACAGCATCACGAGAAGTTCTTCCTGTTCGAACTTACCTCATCAACAGTCTCTGGCCATCTGTTGCCCACATTTCAAATCCATCCATTAATATTTTGAGAGAACTGGCAGCAATTTGTTTCCACTCACTCCCGTATATGGAAAAGATCTTTCGAGCAGCTGAAAGTAATCCTGAAAACCCTTTCAACTGCTTGCTGGCTACTTCAACGCTAGTGTCTCATTTTAAGGGTAACTATATGGAAGAAAAACTGATATTTAATAAATACGAAGAGACTTTGATGAATTTTATCGCAATCGAAAGTAAGGTGTTCAATGACGATAGCCTCAGTCGGCATAAACTACTGGCAGGATTCGCAGCAGCCGAAAAACTACGCATACCAAGCCTATCGGACCCAATAATAGCTGTTGTAAAGAATCATCAAGTTCCTTCTGTGATCCGAGCTGTCGGTCTCAAAACATTAGGTAACCTTGACTTTGACAGAGATAGTAAAAAGATTGATACTGTGATAGCTCTGCTAAATGAGTTTATTGATTCATCTACACCTGGGCCTTATTTCGAAAATGCTGCTGATGAAATGGTACTCAAATTTGGTGCTTTTTCAGTTCTCCTGAATCTGAATATTTCTGCAACTGAAATCGCTGAATTGATTTCAAAATTTGGGTCGCATAAACAGTGGTCCCTAATGGCTAGCTGTAGAAGGCTAGTAGATAGTTGGTGTGAGAATGAGCTTCTATCTGAATCTACCTGTCGCTGCATCAGATTTGGTGGTGGCAGCCTTTCTGACTCAGGAGAGAAATGTTACCCGGGGTTAGGAGCGGGTTGGTCAGGCCTATCTGGTACAACTTCCGCAGGGGAAGTGAACTTAATTCGAGGTGACATCTTCGACAATCGGCCATATCTCCTCTCAGACTACACTCTTCAATGGTCAACAGGAGCACATGGGGAGATAAGAACATCCAATTTGGCGGTTTCTCTTATTGATTCAGATGGAGAAGCCAAGTTGCTGAGTTTCAATATCTATGGGAATCAAATGGAGAATCTTATGGGGAAAGGAAGTTCTGGTGCAAACCCTTGGCTCTCAGTTGGATTCACCCTCTTCCATGGATCTACTCCGCCAACTCAAGTATTTTCCGGAGGTATGACAGAAATAATTAATATACTCTTCAACGCTCCTTCTGAACCAACACCGTTTTACAGCTCTACCAGACTTCCAATAGACAATCGTTATTATCTTCCCTCATCTTCTGGTTGGATTTTAAGAAATGACTTACTTGGTGTTGTGTCTGTTGAGCTTTCTGGAGCTCTCCGCTCGAGTTTGTTTAGTCAAAGTGGAACGGCATTAGTTCGAACCCGAGCGGCAGTTGCAGTGGAAAATAGTTTAAGCCTCCTTTACCCCGAAAATCAGCATATCCCACTTACTTCTGCAGTTAGTGGAGCTGGAACGGCTGCCCGTTTTGATTTTCTGGTTCACATGGAGATGGGTGGCATGCCAGATGCCATCTGCATGCATCTTCAGAGATCGCGTCTCACCCCAATTATGAGATGGGTTGGAAAATTTGAAGATTCGCCAATTCTAAGCAAAAGGACTAGTATCTTGCAACCCTTACCGAAGTCGGTTAATGAGGCGAATGATAACTACAAATTGGTACAGTATCTCCGTGTTCCGCCAGTGTCGTTCCATCTTGGGTCCTTGAATGCAGCACGATGTCGAAAAATTGGAATTACAAATGAATGGGATTAGGACACGCAATTCATTCCATGATTTTTCTAAAATAAATATTATATAAACTCTATTTGAATATTACTTTCTGTATTTAGTGTAAACTTTAATACGAAAGAGCGATGTCTTTTGATATACAGAAATGGCTGCTTATTTATTACATTTGAAATTTTTCATTAAATCTTGACAGTTATAGCACATTCATAATATATATAATTTTTTGTTTTCCATTTTCAAAATATACGATTATCTACAGATGCAATTATGAGCAACAGACCTAGGTATGGCGCCAATAAGTTTAGGTATGTTTTTAATGTCATTCCGTGTGAGGTTTCCAACTTTTCGACTTGCGAATTAGGTCACATTAGTGAAGAAAGTTATATTTGGGCATGACTAATAAGACCAAACTATTCTTAAGTAACTTGATTTTTAAGGCGCCTACATTGATATCTAAGAGAACTAAACCTTCTAGTAATTTAGCTCCTTTATAAGCATCCCCAAAACGTGCTAAATGAAATTAAATGAAAAGGGGATGCTAATTTTGCACGACACACAATAGAGAAAAATTAGGATTTAATGACAAACTTTATATATTGAATGGGTCTTCTACAAAGCATAGTTTAACGAAATTAATCTGATTACATTTGATTAGCCCAAGTTTCATTTGCGATCTGTCGAAAGGCATTGCAACAATATCAATTAAGTTCCAAGTATCTTTTTTAGAAATTTTCTTAGCATTTCTAATAGAAACTATAATTTTACGATGTGTGCGTGTAATTTTCTAAATATTATAGATGCTATGATAAGCATTGATAATTTTATTATTTTCATTTCATTAGCATCGAACAAGAAATCTACAGGAGAACTGAACAAAATAAAGCCCACTGAAGATTGGAATTGATTTATAGTGTCGAACATAACCGAGAAAACACCAAAATAGATAGTCTTCTATAAACTGTCGTGGGATTTTTGGTAATAATTATTTTTGAAGTGGAATGCCGATACAGTTCTAGATTAGATTATTAAGAATATTATAGAACATAGAAATAACAAAATGATATAAACTAAAGCAAATATAAACAATTAACCCACATTTTTTAGTAATAAAATTAAAGATGGCATTTTATTCACAATCTAGAAAACTCTTGAAAATGCGTTTTTTTATATTTAATGAGTTATTTATTTATCATTATACATTCAAGCCATGCGGCCGTGGTTATATTTGTACGGCCTCAGTCTTGCAATGTCAGACTAGCCCAGAATTTCACTTTACAGCCTTCCAATTATTGTCACCTTTAGAAATGTCGTTATTTGATTGTAAATACGATGGATGTTCCGATGATTCATCTTCCAGCGAGTAAGTTGTGTTAAAATATGATTCAATTATAGAGAATCAGATTGTAATGTCGTTAAAGATGATCATGGCTTCGAGGAACGCATGAAACATGAGTTACAATCGGAAGTAATTTCCTATTCACGCAGAAACACTAAAACGGAGAAGAATCGTAAGTTTACTTTTATTTACGTGTTTATTTTCTCATAGCTTCGTTAGAGCAACCCAATGATGATGATCTGTTATACGATCCTGAAGAAGACAAGGTTAATGAGAAATTTACAAGACATTTGCAGAAATCTAGCCAAAATGGCCAAGTATGTGAAGAAACAACTGATGCTATTCTTAACTGTCCAGGGTGTATGAGCTTACTGTGTCTTAATTGCCAGAGGTTAATAGAATTGCTTTGGACAGTATCATTACTTTAAGTTTGGTCTCTCTAATCTTTCCTCTTTTGTAGACATTCTAAGTACAAGACGCAATACCGAACGATGTTTACCTTCAACTGTAAAATTGCTGACGGTACAACCCAGGTTCCAGCTGTAGTTGATCTTTCAAAAGACGCTTCATCTGCTATCATTGAGGATCTCAAAACGGTTGTTTGTGAAGTTTGCAACACTCCTGTTGGCCTTTTAGAATCAAACGGTGTCTACCATCTTTTCAATGTATTAGCAAGTCATAGTTGATATCACATTGATTTGTAATATTATCCTGTATATCTTTCCTTACTCCTTCCCTTCTGATACTATATATGGCTATGGCGAAAGTGATTAAATATTTATAACAGCATCGTCAAGTAGCACATAAGGAGGAAATAAGTCACATTTACAGAAATTAGAAGTAGTTCCATGAATTAAGACAGTTCAAATCCAGCATTGCAATGGATGGCGTAACGCAGTTTATCTCGAAGAATGCTTCGGGAAGCATAATTGGGGAGTTTTAGAAGGTTGAAACAAGTAGATGCTGATGGTAACCGGGCTTGTTCTTCATTTCCGCGACGACTTCCAAAGCCGAAGAATCCTTTCATGACAGATCCTAGTGTATCTCCCATGTCCTGAAAGGAAGTATTCGAATTTATATTAAAGATACCAGAATCTATTGAACAGTTATATTATGTCGCAAACCATTTTGACTATGAGACGAAGAGTCAACTAATAATATTTGTATGATTCAGGAGAATAGATATTCGGCAACGAATAACCGAGACGGTCTTTCGTAGTAGCCCTAAATGTGCCTGCCAATGAACTCGAAATCCCACAGATACTGGGAGAAAACTGATCTAAGGATGCATGAGGAATTTGACCAAGTGGGTCGATCTGACAAAGAAATTCGCGGTTTTTAAATCGTGTAATTTTCATCGAGTTATCAAGTGCCAACGAAGAACGCTGAAATTGTTCATAAAGATATCGCTGTGACAAAACAAGAATTATCAGCTGCACTTGAAACATTCGTTCAACTTCATTAATTCACGCAAGAACTAAGTGAAAACGGAAGATAACGAGTACAGGTGTTTCGTCGCTTTTCTAATAATATGTCGCTATAAAAATAAAAGCAACACCGGTGTTGGTGGATTGCTCATAAGAAAGTAGAACTTATTGATGTACACCAAATTAGGGAAAGTAGAGAACAGTTTCATTGTGTACTGTGTTTTAAAACAAACCTAAACTTATTGTCAAAGATAGGACAGTGGATCACTAACTTGATCTTCATTCACGTATTGAACGCATCGAATGCAGAAGGGGGGTTCGAGAAAGGCGAAACCAAGCAAGGGAGGCTTAGAGCAGCTTGTAACAAACTTGAGAAAGAGTCCTCGTTCTTCGTCAGAAAAGTCGCGTTTGAGAATATCCCAGAGCCAGGTTATTACCCGGTGGTTGCTGTAGAATCCGCCGGAGTATTTAGTATGTTGTCTAAAAAATAAAGCAGAAACCAAATGATACCCGTTGCGAAAAATATTGACTTGAGTAAAATTTGCACACTAATACACAGAGAAAGTATACCAAAGCGAATGTCTTCCCGGAAGTTGAATCTTTCAACACTTTAATCACAGATTGAATGAGGAAAAATTCATTATAACTGGAGAAAAAAATTTAAATGGCAGAGATGAGGTATCAACTACTTAGAATACACGGATTCAAATAATTGTTGTCTACTCTTAGGTAAGGAAACGTACAAGCAAGAATAAAGGCTACTTTAAATGGTTACAAAAAATATGACAAGTATTAAACGGTATTTTACACACGGAAGGTACGAAGGAGCCTGAGATGATAAAAAACTCCACTCCGTAGACTTTTGACAAAATAAAAAATATATATCACAGAACTGAAACAACAGATTTTCCGTGAAGGCTAAATAGAAATGCAAGGAAGATAAGTATTAGCCTAAGTAATAATTTGAAAAAAAATGTCAGAGACATTTAAGAACAAACTTGGGGTAGGATATGCCCTATTCTTTATTTTTTAACAGATATAAGCTCCATTTATACTTATATCACCACTCAGTAAAAATAGAATCCTTTTTATAATACGGTCATGGGGAAGAATGGAAAGGGTAGACGAAGCTATCAAACCCTGCACATCGCACTCAATGCCTATCAAGGTATATGCGAAAAAAAAACAAAAAAAAATCAAGAATGCAAATAAAAGGATAGATGTTCTGGGAATACTCAGAAGGCAGAAACACACTTACTTCAAATCCTCCAAATCAAAATTGACCGACTCTCCTGAAATGAGCTGCTGCAGTTCTGTTGGTGAAAACATGGCAAGCCAGTCAGGATTAATAATTGAGTAGAATCCACGAATGAAGCTGGCTGTTTGCGCGCGGATCTGCTTGTACATACGGAACATGGCCATTCGGTGAACATAACTTATTCTGAAATGAGGAGGAGGAGGAGGAGGAGGAGGAGAAAAAGAGGGAGTGATTAATAGGCTACCTCTCCAATATTAAATGAAAATACTGAAAGCAAACCTACTTGAGGTCATTGGTGACAGTTATATAGCGCCCTCCAGGGACTAGATCATGAACAACAAGTTGGCCGAGGCAGTCTTCGTCATAGGAGAAGGTTAATTCAAGTTCAGAGACATCACCGTCGTAATGCTAAAAAATACTCCATTAAGGCATATGGAAAAGAAGAGTGTTGCCACTCAATCAAATTCAATAAGTATATCCTGTGTCCCAAAAAATCGGTGACCTATTTTAATCCAATGAATAATATACAAACTAGACTTCCATAAACGCATCTTTTAGTGTATACGTTTCCGGCCGCCTTCTCTCGAATTTGGTGGTCGTCAGAGAGTTATCCAAATAGGTTCTACCATCCAGCAAACTATGACAGAACTTTGGACTTTTATCCCCCCCC